TGTATGTATATATAATTTTGATTATTTGTTACTATTATTATTGCTGAACCATTTCAGAGTGAATGACAGACAGCTGCATCTCTAAATACATGTTTGTGTATCTCCTAAGAAGCAGACCACCTGACCTGCCTCTTGAGAAACCTGTATGCAGGTCAGGAAACAACAGTTAGAACTGGACATGGAACAACAGACTGGTTCCAAATAGGGAAAGGAGGACGTCCAGGCTGTATATTGTCACCCTGCTTATTTAACTTATATGCAGAGTAAGGAGATCAGTCCTGGGTGTTCATTGGAAGGACTGATGTTGAAGCTGAAGCTCCAATACTTTGGCCACCTCATGTGAAGAGCTGACTCATTGGAAAAGACCCTAATGCTGGGAAAGATTGAGGGCAGGAGGAGAAGGGGACGACAGAGGATGAGATGGTTAGATGGCATCATCGACTCAATGGACATGGGTTTGGGTGAATTCCGGGAGTTGGTGATGGACAGGGAGGCCTGGAGTGCTGTGGTTCATGGGGTTGCAAAGAGTCGGACATGACTGAGCCACTGAACTGAACAGAACTAAGAATAAGGACAATTCAATTGTCCTTTATTATTAATTTTGACTCTGCCTCCAAACTCATGCATAACCCCAAGTTGGGATTCCCAGGAAGCAGTACTTTTCTAGAAAGCTGTATGGGAAGTCAGTTTTGTTTTCTTTCTTCCCTCCAAATAAGTCTCAGTTATCTCCACAGCTTGTAGCCCGAATGCTTGGGGATCTTATTGTCCACTCTTAGCAAGTACTTTGCCTATCAATTGTTCTTTAATAAGTATTGCTTCCTCTGATGGACTGGGTATATACTAGTCCTTTCATCATTGGTTCTCTGCTTTACTTATTCACTAGAGTCTAGATGGTACCAGTGGATGTATTGGGAAGCCATGGATGACATCCAAGACACATCTAGATCTATGTTGTCCATGAGGCTAGAGAGCACCATCTATGCTCTTCTGAAGACCCACTCATATGATATGAGACTCCTCAGATGACAAACTGGTCTTCTTGATTTTGTTCTCTGCCTCCAGACCCATCCTGACATTTGTGGAACCCAGGGCAAGAATACAAATGTAGGCCTACATGCAATGTTTTCTAAATATTGAAAATTAGAAATCAAGGCAACATACTGTACAAAGCATATTTTATCCTCCTTCTTTTATGACCATACCTTTGTATTGACCTGGAAGGCTGGCTTCAAGTTTGGCATTATCAGAGTTCTTAGAGTTCCACACCAAAAAAACATGGAAAACCAGCCTCTGATCTGCTTACTGTTCTTTGCACCTGTTTCCCAACTCAGGACCCATTCTTGGGATTCTTGCACAAATATGTGCAGACAACTCAGTCACCCATCCCTTCCTAGATAAATATCACTTGGCTGTAGATAGATAAATACATAGTATAAATACTATGTATTTATAGTATAAATTTATGTATTATACATAGTATAAATACATAAATACATAGATAAATACATAGTATTTATTCATAGATAAATACTGCTTGAACTCAGGAAGTGTACACCACCAGCTCAGTGATCTCTGGAGGTCATATTTAGGGAAGAGGTCTGTGTAGGAAGCAAGTGCAAGGGCCTATTCCAGTTCCCAGATGCTTAGCACATGGTCTAGAAGTGGGTGAGCTTGGCTCTTTGGATTTCTGGCCCTGTGGGGAGGACGGTGGCCAGAGGAGGCTCACAGCTCAGCCCCTAGATCTTGTGACCCAGGAAATGCCCCTTGACCGGACCTAAGGCAGTGCCATCTGGATCCTTGCCTATTTAGTACCTCATCATGCAGTGTGTTGCCGAAGAACTCCCTGTGACTTGACTTTGTGTATATTCTTTGAAAAAATTTTGACAATTTGTTGAATTTTCTTGGTGACAAGCTTCTACAAGGACTTTGCATCTTCAGCCTTTTCCAGCAAGATATGTAAAATTATGAAATACTTTATGCTTACTTTCATATCTATGTGTTTCAGTAACACATGGATTCATAGATGTTTGTTGTTGTTCTAAATAAATATATTTATTTCCTTTTTCTTATATAAAAGTAACATATGCTTACAGTTAAAAAAAAATTCAGACATTTCTTAAAGGTAGAAAGAAGAATGCAAAAAAACAGTTATAATCTTACCATTTAGGAAGAACCACAACTTATATTTTGGTAGATAGCCTTCTAAAACTTTTTCTGTGGATACGCACACATGATTTTTTATATGAAGATGAGTTTATTATATTCATGCAGTTTAGTGATGGGCTTTTCCTTTTCCACTTCAATAAATATAAATTTGCTTCATCATTTGTAATGACTATAGAACATCTACTATATCTGTTTATTCAATAAATATTCATATATATATACCTGTCACTGAGCTAGAATCTTCAAATGCAGTCCTAGGTAAGTAAGTCTTTAAAAACACAAACTTACCATAATTCATTAAATTAACCTCCTATAGATGAACAGTAAAGTTCTTCTTTTGCCATTATAAAAAGAGTTATGATAAATATCCTGTACATACATTTTTGTGCCCTTGACTGAATATATCCTTAGAATAAATTCCTAGAAGTATTAATTGCTTGATCAAAAATAAATAATATTTTAAATATTGATACAAATGCATATTGACTTACTTTCAGAGAAGTTGTTACAGTCAACATCTCATCCACAGCACATACTGCTCCATAATCTTGCCAACACCGGGTATTAGTAATTTAAAAAATTTTTGCCAATCTAGTAGTCAAAAATTAAAATGAGTGTTATTTCCTTCTTTTTTGTAAACTAAAATTTCATATCCTTAACCTTGAGATGTTCATCTTTTTCTTAGTGATTTGTAAAAGCAATTATGTACATTCAGGGAATTGGCATGTATTTTACAAATATGTCTCAATTTTTTTTTGTCTGTCTTTGAACAAGGTTGTGGTATTTTAGCCATAATGAAGTTATTTTTTTCCCAAACAGAACTAGCCATAACTTTTAATAGTGATTTTTAATAGTTTTAAGACTTTTAATAGTTTATTGAGTGGGAAGAGTTTGAAGTGATTAGGTTCCAGGCCTTTGGGTGCAGAAACACCAATATAAGCATGCAGATCTCCTGTTGAATTTTTGGCAGAGCGAAGTGAAGCCCTCAGGAACACATGAAAGGAAGAGTAGAATGACCTGAAATCTTCTTTTGCATGGGGCCGCTGTAGTGTCTGTTGGGTGGGAAATGCAAGCTAAGTGGTTTAAAGAAAAGGCATGGGAAAAGAGGTAACAACCAATTTGTCTATAAGAAGCCTGAGGAGGAAGATGGGGTGAGAGAAAGAGATGTGGTGGCTGTGGTGGGAAGTGGAAATTTGGGGAAAGAGAAAGAGGTTTACAGATAATTTTTAGCAAGTTTGTTGGTATGATAGCCAGTTTTCACAAAACCTGTAGAATACAAACCACATTACTCATTCTGCTTTGAAGTTGCGCTTGGACATATTTTTGGATACAAAAGTGGAAGATGGACCCCAAGGCAGCTGTTGGTGAGCACAGTGCCAGCCCAAGGCACCCAATTATGTTTAGGGTCCCTGGTGTGGTCATACTGAGGTTGACTCCCCAACCCTCAACCCATTGCTACATAATTAATTCAAGTCGCTCATGGTAACTGCTCCCTCACCCGGACTCTGTTAAGGAATTTGTGCCAATGAGATACCAGGGAAGGCTTGCTGGGGCTTTCAGAAAAGAGAAAAAAATGTTTCTCTTCTTGAAAAGGAACAGGAAAACATGTTGTCCCAGGTTGTGTAGCCTCAAGGGGAATTTGCCTTAGAAAGAAGCTGAACAGGTAATTAGCAGAGAGACAGGGAGAATCTGGGGCCTAAAGACATTGTCAAGCCACTGAACCCATCAACCCTGAAGTCTGCCCACCCTGTCACATGAGGTAATAAATAATCTTCGAACCTATGGGAGTCAATCTCTGTTACTTGCAGCTGAAAACATTTTAACTGACATACAGAGTAAAGTGTGAACAAGCTAGAGCCCTGGCAAACTGCTGAATTCCTGAACAGATTATTAGTCTGAACTCAGAACAGACCAGAAGTTTAGATTGGACCTGAACTATTTAGCTCCCAGAACTTGCTGTGTTCTCTTTCCATCTCAGGGTCCTTGCATATGCTCTTTCCACTTTCTCCTCACTCTGCTTTTTGCGTCCCTGACTTGGGCTCAACTGCAGGCCTCTAGTAGGGAACAAGGGCTCAGAAAGATTTCCCTGGCCTGTCACATTTGAGTGGTAGTTCCTTCCCTGTACTCCCATGGAGCTGTGTGCTGTATTGAATTGCCTGAATCTCCCAGTGAAGGCAGGGATATATCTGTGTTGGTCACAGATTGGATGAAACTTGAAAGCATTACATTAAGCAGAAGAAGGCACGAAAGACCACATGTTGTATGGTTTTATTTTCTTTATTCATAAGAAACCTCCAGAACAAGGAAATCCATAAAGGCAGAAAGTAGATTTGCTGTTGCCAGGGGCTGAAGGGAAGGGAAATGGGGAGTGACTCCTGTTTGATATGAGGTTTCTTTTTGGGGTGGTAAGAATGTTCTGGAATTAGATAGTGGTTATGATGGCAGATATCTGTGAATATACTAAAAACCACTGAATTGTATGCTTTAAAGAGGGGGGAGGGAGGAATTCCCTGACAGTCCAGTGGTTAGGACTCTTTGATTTCACCTCAGGGGGCGTGAGTTTGATGTCTGGTTGGGCAACTAAGATCCTGCAGGGCTAAAATAAAGGGCAGGGGGAGGAGGTTATGCTATGTGAATTGTATCTCAGTTAAAAAAAAAGAAAGCATCTCCCCACTATTTTCCTGTTTTAGATGATGAAATCAGTTAAAAGAAGATGAAAAATATATACTCATTTGTTTAGGGAAATACTTAGAACTTTACAATAAAAAATGTCATCCTAATTGTAGTATGTCAGTATGTCAATCCTTTGTGTGTCTGAATAATATTCCATTGCATGCATATATCACATTTTATTTATCCATTCATCAGTTGATGGGTAGTTGTGTTTCCACTTGGGGGCTATGCTGAATAATACTGCTATAAACATTAGTATACACGTTGTTTTGTGAACATATGTTTTCAATTCTCATAGGTACACACCTAGAAGTGGAATTGTTGGGTCATATGGTAACTCTCTGTTCAGCTTCTTTGAGGAACTGCCAGGCTGATTTCCAAAGAGGCTGAATTGTTTTCCATTCCCATCAGCAATGTGTGAGGGTTCCAATTGCTCCACATCCTAGTAAAGATCCATCTGAGTAAATTTCGTTTAGGCAAACAGAATGCTGACCTGAAGAAACAGGAATGATACACTTCATATTCACATAGCTAAAGTGCATGAGTCAAATAATCAGTAATGACACTGCCAATCTGCCTTTTAACATCCAAGAGTTTATGAAGAAAAGGCAAAAGAAAGGCAAATGACTAACTTGGGAATGAATGATTGATGTTATCTGTTAATTTTTTTTTAAAAAAAGCATACATACTAGCTAAAGAGCCTGCAGTAAACTTGAAAGTTATCCAGCAATGGACTTAGCTTAAGCCTAAGCCATCCCCAGCTGGGGTTCAGATGTGTCTGGGCCTGTTTGGTGAACTGAGCTGCCAGAAACTGATTTTTAAGAGGAAGAATAAACTTGGGAGAGAGAACTAATTTAAGGGGAGAGAGACTTACACAGGAAAGCTTGCTAAGCTTTTGTTGGGAGGCACAGTTCCAAAAACATAGGACTCCCCAAACCCTGGTCTTGCCTCCATGTACCCAGGACTGAGTCCCAGAAGAAAAAGGCCTGTATGTAAAATCTGAAAGCTTTATTTCCATGGTTTGACTGTTTGTGTCCTCTTAAAATTCATATGTTGAAATCCTAACTCCACCATGTGATGGTACTAGGAGGTGGGGATTTGAGGAGGTGATTAGATCATGAGCTTGGAGCCCATTAGGTCATGAATGGGCTTAGTGCTCTTATAAAAGACACCTCACAGAGTTCCCTAGCCACCTGTGTCATGTGAGGACACAGCAAGAAGTCAGAAGTCTGTAGTGCTAAAGAGGGCCCTCTCCAGAACCCAACCAGGATGGCACTCTGATCTTGGACTCAAAGCCTCCAGAATTGTGACAAATTTTTGTTGTTTGTAAGCCACCTTCCCAGGTGGCACTAGTAGTAAAGAACCCCCTTGCCAAAGCCAGAGATGTTAAGAGACGTGGCTTTGATCCCTGGGTTGGGAAGATCCCCTGGAGGAGGGCACGGCAATCTACTCCAGTAGTCTTGCCTGGAGAATCCCATGGACAGAGGAGCCTGGTGGGCTATAGTCCATAGGATGGCAAAGAGTTGGACACCACTGAAGCGACTTAGCACACGTTAGCCATCTAGTCTGTGGTATTTCTGTTACAGCAACCTAAGTGGACTAAGATAATTATTCTCATCAAAAATTCTAAGACCTTGGATGAAAGGTAGTACTGCCTTAGTATTTCATTCATATAGATATATTACATAAAAGGGAGAGGACCTTCTCCCATTTTGTCCCCAAACTTCATGACATCCTGGTGGGGACTAGAGGTGAGGCTAGGAACAGGAGACATATGGATCACCACTATTTGTATTTTCAGAGTACACAACAATCTGAGCAGTGTGGCCTAGGGAAATACAGTCTAACCGCTATTGAAAAAAAAAAACAAAAAACAGGAAAAATAAGTGGCTAACAGAGGAATGAGCCAAATTTGAAATGAATGGCTAAAAACACATTGTTCTTTTGGGCTGACTGGTAATCTTGTAAAATAATAATTTTTCCACCCCAAGAGTCTTTGCTATTGTGATAGCTGATGTAATAAAGCTGTTTAGTGGCCTTTCCCACCATAGGTTTCTGTGTTGTTCTCACATCTGGGAACTTTCCATTGCTTCAGAGTCAAACTTTCCCACAGTTTTCTATCTGTTGACGTCTGAGGTTATAGATGAAAATGTAACTAGCGGTCAATGGCAGGAAAAGTAAGTGGCTGATAGAGTGTGTAATAATAAAAAAAATGAAGCAAGTTCAATTTGATCCAAGATGTTGAGTTAACACAAAGCCAGTGCAATAGAACCGGCGAGGGTAGCCACACCCTGGGTTTTCCCATCTCATGAGGGAGGCAAGTGAAACGTGTTAATGCTGCCTTCTTGACATCAAGGGAATGAGACCTTGTGATCACACCTGTATGTTTCTAGGAGGATGATATACATTAAATTCAGGCCAGTGCTCTGTTTTGAAGATATCATGCGTTATCATCAGACTCATTTTCCATCAAAGGACACTTTCCAACTTTTAAGAAAGAGATATTGGGTTGGCCAACAATTTGGTCAAATTTTTCCATAAGATGTTATGGAAAAATCCAAATGAACTTTTTGGCCACTGTACAACTCTCACTCCATAAAGTTCTTGAACAAGTTTGGGGGAGGAGTGGGGAGGTGTTGTTGGAGTAATACCTGATGAGTCATGATCAGAGAACCTACATATTCCCTCTGTGTGCGTGGGTCGGGGTTAATAGAGCCCAAGCACCCCTGGGGTTGACTGGGGAGGGGCCATATAGGTCCACAGTCCCCACAAAAAATCAGACAGGCTGAGTTTTGATCTCTTTTATGTATTGATTCTTGTCTAAAATGTATATTTGAACATAGGGAGTTGCTACCAAAGAAAGGGAAAAGAGAGGGCCTGAGAGAGAGAGAGAGTGAGATTGAAAGAAGCCCCTTGCACAAATGTTATAGTTTCTCAGGAGGGGCCTTCTCCTGGTTGAATCCTGGATGTTAATCACAGTCACAGCAAACTCGGTTGCTGTTTTCCTTACTCACACCGGGAATTCATCTGCTCCTGGCTCCCAGCACAGAGTCTTGGCAATACTCGTCATGGCTGCTTTGTTTCTGAGCTGCTTGGTGGAAACTGAGCAGAGCCCTTGGCTGGAGTCGTCACATCAACCCCTGGCTGACCTTCCAAACTGTACATCTCCATGGAAAGGGGAAGAAGTCTCAGGTGCCTCGGAGAGGAGAGGGCTGCCTGGCTGGTCCCGTCCAGAACTGCGGAAGCTCTGCTCAGGACAGCGGAGTTTGCCAGCGTCAAGAAAGAGACACCAGCAATTCCTCTAGGGGTCAGAAAACTTATGGAAATGCCAAAAGATGACAAATCCAGAGGGCTTGGAAATTTGGTCACTTTTGCACTCAGCTCCCTGACCTTTGGAAATGACGTATCGCAGTATTGAGTCCAAAACCAGCTTTGATTGATTTTTGTGTTCATCTCTGCACTCAGACATTTAAAGACACTAGAGAGGTCTCCTAATGTTTTCCACACATCATAATGGCATAAAACCAGGAGAGGAATAGTGACAGCCAGAAAGAATTACAAATAGGAATAGAAGACAAAAAAAAGTGTGTGTGTGTGTGTGTAAGGGTGGGGGGACTTAAGGGGACATCTGTGGGCTTAATCAGTAACTTAATCTGACAATGCAAAACTTAACCAGTTAAGAGCAAACACAACCAGTTAGGCCCCTGCCTCTTAAGGAGCCCTTACCCCTTCCTCGGCCTTTTGGGCTCTTGAGCTAGCAACAGGCAGACATGGCAGTTCCTGCTGGCTTGAATCCTGTCTGGCCTCTGGAACAACGGCCAAGCACTTGATCATTCAGCATTCCCCAGTCCTGAGCTTCTAAAGGCTACACGTGGCATTATTGGGAGCTCTTTGTTATTAGTGGGCCTGGAATTTGCCTGCTGCATCCACATCTGGCCCCCAGATGGTAGGATTGACCCAGGTGTGCACTAAGCTGTAGGTTCCCTGTGATTATGGTCAGTATGCCTGCCTAATCTTTTGCCTGGTCTCTGATTTTTTTTTTTAATTTGTTTTTTAATTTTTGCATTTAAAAAATTATTTTTAATTGAAGGATAATTACAATATTTGTGTTGGTTTCTGTCATGCATCAACATGGATCAGTCATAGGTATTATACGTATGTCCCCTCTCTCTTGAGCCTCCTCAGCTTTTTCACTGGGACAAGATCTTGGTTCTGAGCTAGCTTGGCTGCCATGCCTGCCCTGCCCTGGCTCCTGCAGTCTGCTCATGCCATCTTCTCTCACTGCCTCTCCTCAACCCTACAAAAAAGTTGAGGCAACAGTACAATGAATAGTTACATATCTTTCATTTAGATTTACTAACTGTTAGTACTTCGCCACACTTGTTTCTCTTACTTCATCTTCCCATACACACAGACACACACAATTGTCCTTTTCTTTTGGCAGCACACCAATGGCTTGTGGGATTTTAGTTCCCCAACATCGGATTGAACCCACGCCCCCTGTAGTGGAAGTTCGGAATCTTAACTACTGGACCATCAAGGAAGTCCCACATAATTATCTTGATAATATCTTTTATGGCTATATATGTTTTTCAGTTCAAGATGCAATTAAGGATCACACATTGCATTTAGCTATCATATTTCCTTAATTTTCTTTAGTCTAGAACAACCCTCTTGTTTTTAAAATCTTTCTTTAAAAAAAGGGTTTTTTTTTTGAGTATAGTTGATTTACGATGTTGTGTCAGTTTCATGTGTGCAGTGAAATGAATCATTTACATATAAACATATATCTACTCTTTTTAAGATTCTTTTCCCATGTAAGTCAGTACAGCATGTTGAGAAGAGTTCCCTGTACTATAGAGCAAGTTCTTCTTATTTATTTTTTACCTAATAGGGTGTCTTGACTTTGATATTTTTGAAGAGTTCAGGACAATTGTTTTGTTGAATGTCCACAGTCTGGATGGCTGAGTATCTCTTCCTGGTTAGATTTAGTGGGGCCACAAGGTCTTTTTTCCATCCTCTGCACTGCTGCACACGCAGCATTTTTGGCAGTAATACCCTCTAGGTCTGACTGCCTCTTAGGTGTAGGCTGTGCCCACTACATCACTACACAGAAACCACCTCCCCACCGTCCCCACCAGAGATGTTGCAGTGAGAATGGCTGAGGAGCTAGTGTGCAGGGCAGACCTGGGCTCCCAAGGGCCTAGCGAGGTTGCTGCCACCAGATACCACTCTGACTACTCAGCCCAGTTGGATCGGTTCTAAAGGGAAACAGCTTGAATCTTCTTTGGCTCCCACTTTCATTTGTCACAGATGAGTTATCGGATATCCTGGGCTCTTAGAACTCTGTCATAGCCCAGTGGTACTCAGGCTGAGGAAACAAACGGGGCTGAAATCCCACAGAAGCAACATTTTAGAGGTCCCATAGTTCCAAAGGCTCTGGATCTAAACTTTGATATGTGGACAAAACTTCTGTACCCAAGTGGAAACTCCAGGCTGCTGTGATCAGCTTCAGAGACAAGAAGAACCAGGAGAAGTTGGGACCAGACGTCTGGCTGAATTCAGGGATTTGGTAGGCTTCCCTTGTAGCTTAGTCAGTAAAGACTCTGCCTGCAGTACAGGAGACCTGGGTTCGATCCCTGGGTAGGGAAGATCCCCTGGAGAAGGAAATGGAAACCTACTCCAGTATCCTTGCCTGGAAAATCTCATGGACAGAGGAGACTGGTGGGCTGGAGTCCATGGGGTCGCAAAGAGTCAGGCACGACTGAGCGATTAACATAACATAACAATAATGTTCTGCCATTAGCAAGGAAACCAAGTTCCTTCTTGGAAAGGAAGCAGGGGTACTGTAAGTTCAAAAAGTCAAAGCCAAAACCCAAACCCAGAGCTCACATGGATTGGAGGAGACCTGGAACTAGGGGGTCCTCCAAGGCAGGTAGCCTTTCCTATTATCCTATGCATCCCATGACTNGGGATTGGGGGCAGGAGGAGACGGGGACAACAGAGGATGAGATGGCTGGATGGCATCACCGACTTGATGGACATGTGTTTGAGTAAACTCCGGGAGTTTGTCATGGACAGGGAGGCCTGGCGTGCTGCCATTCATGGGGTTGTGAAGAGTCGGACACGACTGAGTGAATGAACTGAACTGAACTGAAGAGTTGGTATCTGAGGGTATAGATGGGGAAGGATGGCAGAACATAGAATTTTGAGAGACATACATTGAGGGTAACTAAGCTGGAAAATGGAGTTGAGCCACTGTTAAGTTGTTGAAATGTGTTATAATTCACCCTCGATTCACCTAACTCCAGATTTTTCTTTTATGATGAGCTCATTGGTGTCCTGGTTTTGTTCAGCTACTGTGTAGCCAGAAACGTGCCTACCCCATCAGGCACATGATCTGCCTCTGAGAAGCTGGGAAGTGGGGCCACAAAGATGATTTTTTCCCCCTTCCCTGCCCTGTTACACGTGGCAGAAACAGAAGGCGAGATGTGGACACACTCATACAATATCCAGGCTTTTCAAACAATATAAAGTGGCATGCGAGCTCACTCTCTAATATCATAAAACTGGGAGGGAAGCCAGGTAACAGAGAAAGGGAAGTGGTAACAGAGAAATTCCATGGAAAGAAAGCTCAGGAAGCTCTTAATAAAACATAGCTTAAACATAAAAATTTGGCACTTTATTAAGAAAGGAATATAGTGAGGGGTTGGTGACTGAGCCATGGACTGCGTTCAGCATCTGGAGAGCTGGAAGCTTCCAACAAGACCTGCTAGACTGATACAGGGGCTCTGGAAGATCCTTTAATGGATGTAAGTGCTGTGTAGGGGAAAAAAAAGACTTGTCAGGTGATTCAGAAGAAAAGTATTTTTAAGTTGAGAAGAGTGCAATTGTATTACCATCACCACATTTAGAGATGAATAAAAAAGGCACAGAGAAAGGAAGTGGGCTGTTACTGGGCCTCCCATAACTACAGTTCAGCTCAACTTCCTTATATAGGTTTCTTTTTTGCACACACGCTCCTAGTTTAGGTTTCTAAAATCCATGGTTTTTATTTATAGGTTAAGCACACCCCAATTTTTCTAAATACTGAAGACGATGCTGGCCAGACCTTAATTTGGGTTATCACCATGCCTAGTGTCCCCTCCCTCCTGCTTTCCTGTCTGAGTCCCTTCAGGAACCTAGGTGGCCTCTTTGTTTTCTAAACTTTCGCAACTTTCTTAGCCCCTTCTATCCTTTCTTTCTTCTGTCCTTCCTTCTTTCTTTCTTTTTTTTTTTTGGTTTTGTTTTCTTTTTTGCCAGCGTGTCAGTACAGCTGAGCCCTCCTGATCCCTGTTGGCTGCACAGGCCCAGCTCCAGCTCCGTCCTCCTTTTACTGGGGAACTGATGTTAGCCAGGTTGGATGACAGCCCGGCAGCCGTTCTGCTGCTAATGAACTGGCCTGAAGAACAAAACACTGCAACTCTCCTGGAACAGTCTTGTCATCTATAGTTGGAGCACAGAAAACCTTGGGGTTTGGAAAAGAACAAATGTCACTGGAGTTTGCTTATTTGCCTTTGGGATGTCAAGACCCCCAGTTCACCACACCCTGAAAGTTTATCTGATTACAGAACTCCTGTAAATAACAAAAGGTTAAAGGAAAACCCCACCCTTATAGCATTTCCCTACTCATTTCCCACCCTCCAGGACTGGCTGGCAGGCTTGGGTCAGGAAAATTTTTATATTTATAGTCCTGTGAATAAGGGGACCAGACTTGGCCACTTCAAAAGGGCTGAGCGAATCTTGGAAAGCTGGGATTGAAAGAATGCTTAAGGAGCATTAAGGCCAACAGTTTCCTCTGTGCATGAGAAACTGAAGCCAGAGAGCTTGCTGGGTGTTGAGGGTTGAATTGTGTCTCCTCTAAGTTCATGTACTGAAGTCCTAACACCCAGGATCTCAGAAAGTGACCTTATTTGCAGATAAAATCTTTACAGACATGCAAGTTAAAGTGAGGTAATTGGGGTGCGTATAATCCAATATGAATGGTGTCCTTATAAGGAGGAGAAGTTTGATGTACGCAGGGAGATCTCTCTGTGAACATGAAGTCTGCAAGCCAAGGAGAGGGGCAGGGAGCAGATCCTCATCTCACAGCTTGCAGAAGGCAACAGCCTTGCCAACACTTTGATTTTTGGATTTCTAGTCTCCAGAACTGTGAGACAGAAACTTTTTGTTCTTTAAGCTCAGTTCGTGCTCCTCTTTTAGAGCAGCCCTAGCAAATCATTGTCTCTGAAATCTCAGTTCGAGAATGGCCACACAGGTTTGGTCTTCTAACTCCCTTGTCTAAGGATTCTTTCGTCATATTGCCACCTGGATTAGATACATACTATGAAAGTACTACATCAGAGAAAACAAGAGTAGTTTTCAAGAGGGACAGTTTGTCTAAGAATTTGAGGAGCAATGTCTCTGATTATCCATGCTAGAATCTAGCTGGCAAATCCCTGCTAGAATCTTCATATGTAAATGTGTAAATCATAGGTCACAGTGAAACAATATTTATTTATTCAACCAAAGTGACAATAAGAGGTTTTTAAGGCCTTTCCACTGGCGCCAGTGGTAAAGAACCCACCTGCCAATACAGGAGATGTAAGAGACCCAGGTTCGATCCCTGGGTCAGAAAGATCCCCTGGAGAAGGGCACAGCAACCCACTCCTGTGTTCATGCCCGGAGAATCCCATGGCAGTATACGGTCCATGGGATCACAGAGAGTTGGACACGACTGAATCGACTAAGCACACATGCACACGTGGCAAATATAGATCATTTAGAAGGCAAATGAATTCATAATTTGTTATCAAAAGTAGCTCAGCAGTCCAAGAAAACTTTGTGCTCTTAACAGAGGGAAAGTGAACCAAAATCCAGTCCTGCGCTGGCCCACTCTCAATAACAAAATTTATTTACCTATTTAAGTTTAATCCAATCCCAGGCTGCAATGTACAAAATTATTTTCTCAGGGCTCCCTTTCCACAAAGCTTCCACAATTTTCTGTGTCTATTTTAGTTTATCACTTATTTTTCTGTTCCATTTAGAAAACCAGCTCTAAGACAAAGTCACTCTTTCCCTTTAAGAAAATGTATTTCCATCTCTCATACCTTCTCTTGTTGAAAACACACATCCTACTTACCTTGCATACTGACATGTTTCCTTTATTATTTCTAGTAGCTTTAATCACATGTTACAACTTTAACCATTAAAAACTCTCTAGTGAAAACCAACAAGCAGCAAGTAACTGTGAACTGTTTGTCATACCAACATTTCCTGGTTGGCAAAATAACCTCTAGAAACTTACATTGTCTGGTAGCATAGTTTCTTTTCTCAATGTGATGCCAGACACATGTCTAATAAACCCCAAACATATTTAGTTTTCCTCTTGTAAGAACACAAAAGTAGACCTGTTTAGCGATTAGTGTTCCAGTATTTTACCTTATTTGAAATCACCTGGCTATCCCATGAATTCTCTTCATTTAATTTAATTTTAGCAAAACTCTAAAGTTTCGAGTTACCTGAAATCTGGAGAAACTATTTTAGATAGACATATCTAAAACATAATTACTTCTAAAGAAGTCACCTGAAAACTCTTATCTCATTTACCTTTATTTTATCATATGGAAATAACATACCAAGTTATCATACCAGCGGCAATGGCTGATGCCTTGATGACTGAAACAACCCTTATTTGCTGATATGGCAAGTGACATTCTTTGTCCACAATGAAAAGATTGTCACTGTTCTTAGGTTTTGTCTTTTTAATTTAAAAAATTGTTTAAAAAAATAAATAAAATAAAAAAATTTTTAAATAAATAAGTAAAATAAAATGTTTAAATGCTCATGCTTTTACAAAATAGGATTGATAGAAGATACTATGTTTTAAATAATATGCTCATTTGCCAGAATTAAAAGCTGCCAATCATTTGCCAGTGTCTCTCTTTTACAGGGCAGGGGGTGAGGGGAGAGTGTCATGAAATCCTAAATTCTGGGAGCCACTGATCACAAGCCCACAAGGGTTCTCTTCCCCTCTGTTAAGGGCACAAAGTTTCTTGGAATGCTGAGCTACTTTTGATAACAAATTGTGAATTTATTTGCCTTCTAAATGATCTGTATTTGCTGTGTGCATGCGTGCTAAGTCGGTTCAGTTGTGTCCAACTCTCTGTGATCCCATGGACCGTATACTGCCAGGCTTTTCTGTCCATGGGATTCTCCAGGCAAGAACACAGGAGTGGGTTGCTGTGCCCTTCTCCAGGGGATCTTTCTGACCCAGGGATCGAACCTGAGTCTCTTACATCTCCTGCATTTGCAGGTGGGTTCTTTACCATTAGCACCAATGGAAAGGCCTTAAAAACCTTTCATTGTCACTTTAGTTGAATAAATAAATATTGTTTCACAGTGATGTATGATCCTGTTTAACCAGGTATTTTAAAACCTTTTGATATCTTTGACAAACTTCCTCTAGTAAAATTCTAAATAAAGTTCTTTTGACCTCCAGCTAGCTTTGGGATACTCCAAAGGGCTCCTGAAACATCTCAAGAGACATATTAAATTAACTAGGATTATTTTTGTTAAATTACATGAAAGCATTGTCAAATAAGTTGTGATAAAAAAAATTCTTAGGTTAGATGTCTTTAATATATTACAAAATTTAGAAGGCGTTCCTAAAAGTCTGATATGTCCTGGTATAATGTTATCAGGCATAGTTCTACTTATTACCTTAAAATGTTGTGCGTCATAGAAATATCCAAATTCCTTGTCAATTGCATTGTAATCAAGTCTTTAATCATGCAATTTTAAGTCTTGTTGTTTATAATCATTGTTTTACTCTGATGCTTTCATAAAATGGAGATCTTCAAGAAGATTCATCAAAAGGACTTTTTGACAATTATGTTTCTGATAACTTTTTAGATCATACCACTGAACTGAGTAAGAAATTACAGAACTCTAATGGTGGGACTTCTCTGGTGGTACAGTGGCTAAGACACTGAGCTCTCTATGCTGGGTGCCTGGATTCAAGCCCTGGTCAGGGAACTAGACTCCCCACGCTGCAACTAAAAGATTCTGCATGCTGCAACTAAGACCCGATGCAGCCGCATAATAAAATAAATAAATATTTTTAAAAAAACTCTAAGAGACACATGCACCCCAATGTTCATCGCAGCACTGTTTATAATAGCCAGGACATGGAAGCAACCCAGATGCCCATCAGCAGACGAATGGATGTACAAAAACCACTGTAATGATGTAAAGTAATTAGCCTCCAACTAATAAAAAAAAAAAATAAAAAAATAAAAAAACTCTAATGGAAAATCTGATGACTTCATCCAGATCAATAGGAACTAATTACTTAGGACTGAATGAACTGATAAATATGCTTTATAATTTTATGACTTTTTTTCTGAAATATACTGACTTTTAATTTTTGTTTCCTAGAAAACCTTTCCTCTTACACGAATTATGACCAACAAAAAATTGATGAAGTATACCTTTATAAAAAAGATGATTTATCTTTTTATCTCTACCTGATCATTCCAGAACTTGGCTTCTCCAGCTTCCTGCCCTGTGGACTTAATGGCTTATTGTGACCAGGTTATAACTCATTATACTAATCATTGTTTTAATGTGTTCTTTCTTGTTGTTTTCAAACTATTTATGCCATGTGCCTCTTTCTGCTGCACTATGACTTTATTAATGTTGCTAGCTGTATTACTTATACCCTGTTTTATAAGATTGTTGCCTCCTGCATTATACAATGTGTAATCAGGTCTCCAATAAAATTAATGATGTCTCAAGACAGTTGATCATATATATAACTCTGCATAGAATAATTGTCATAGTGCAAGTCTAGGTATAAGAGGAAGCAACAAGGGGAAATATTTCTTGGATTATACTAAACTAGTAAGATCCAGAGAATTTTAGGTTGTTAGCACAGAGTGACCCATCAACAGAATTTTCATCTGGTCTAGGAAAAAGACTTCCTAGTGCTGTGGGGCAAAACTGCTCATGAAATGCCTCCCCAATGTTGTTTGATTTATGACCCAGATGAGGTCTTGTTGTTTGGTTTATGACCAAGATAAGGCCCTGAGGGCAAAGGGCCTTATCAACAATAGGATGTTGCAACCATTATGTCATCAGCCACTGCCTCTGCACCCAGCAGTGTACCCTGAAGGGAGTCAGGACGGAGAAAAGCAAGATACTGGCCCTAGGTAGAGAAGATCAAAGGAATATCATAGGAGTAATATCATATCACTAAGCCCAGACTCTTACATCTTTGCATACATGCTAAGTCCATCAGTCTTGTCAAGACTCTTTGGGAACCCATGGACAGTAGCCCACCAGGCTCCTCTGTTCATGGAATTTTCCAGGCAAGAATACTGAAGTGGGTTGCCATTTTCTACTTTATCTTCTCATAGGTAGTAAAGCACTAACTTCGTTAACTTGAGTTGTCTGTTTTAAATTAACAGTAATCGTTTGCTGTTTGACTGCCTGTTTTTTGTTTGTTTGTTTTGCTAAAGCTCCCGTGCACTCTGACTCTCCCCTCATTCGTCAGCACAGTCCCTTAGAACTATCTGAGGCTTACGTCCTCAGTCAGCCTGCCCAATAAAACATAATTCTCAGCTTATAGGTTGTGCTTTTTTTTCAGTCAACACCATCAAACTACATTTGATAATCCTGAAGTGAAATTGTAACCTTGAAACAAGGTTATATTTACCATTTCTTCAAGTGGAGAAATCACAACATAATATTTTATTTATCACTGCTGCCTCTGGTACAGCTACTGGCACTTGAGCCAACCTGTTCGCTGCCCCAGGCTCTTTTAGCAAGCCCGGAACCCCATGACTTCAGCTAGATGAAGTCAGATATGACAGGGATTTCGTGACCTGGGATTCACCTCTTCCCTTTATAGCTCCCTTGTCTCTACAACAACAGAAGAATCTTTGCATCTTTTTAGCGAGTGAAGAATTAAAATTCATTATTGCTAATAGGAAGCTCCTTAAAATGCTTTGTTTGCTAGTATCAGTTCTCAAAAAGATATGTCCTCCCCCACTATGAAAGTGATATCTTAGTTTGAGTTCTTCCAGAAGCAGATTCTGAGTCACGGATTGGCGTGCAAGAAGGTATCTGGGAGGTGATCCTGGTTGGGGAAGGGGGATGTAAGACAGTTAGGAAGGGGATCTTGGTAGAGGAAGGGAGATGTGAAACAGAGGAGCAGTTCATAGGGAGGAAGCCTTAACAAGCCCTCTTGTTAAGGGCAGCTGGGAAGCTCTTGAAAACTGCAGAGTGCCCCTTGGAGTGCTGTAGCACAATTCCCCACCTGTCACTTGGTAAGTGCTGCTTCTGAGGGCATAAATCGCCCAGCACTTGTCACTTGCCCCATGCCCAAGCCACGTGAGTCTGCAGCCAGAGCAAAATCTTTAGGAAGAGTCACAGAAGTCGCCTGCTTTAATCAGAGCAGAGAATGTGGGTGGGAGACCAAAGGCATCTGTTATCTGCACTTATGTAACCTCTGAACTCTTGATATGAAATCATATCATGGACCCTGCCCTTTGACAGAGAAAGCAAGAAGAACTATGACTCATCTTAGCTGTAAAAGGAAAAAGGAAGGGCCTTCTTCCCCAAAGAGCCACATCCTAATTTCCCATGGGTGGCCAGACCACCTTGGATAACTCTTGTCTCAAATCTGTGGGCAAGACCACTGATGCACATCATGATGATAAAATGCATATATCCAAGACACAAATCTTCCACTAATACCATGGGACTTTTACTAACAATGACCTAGACCAGAGACGGCAAACTGATTATACCTGCGTGTCAACCCTGATCCATTACTGGGGGCTACCCAGAGAACTGTGTTGCAAAGAACTCTGAAAGGGTTCGTCACTCAATCATTTCTGACTCTTTCAGACCCCGTGCACTGTAGCCCACCAGGCTCCTCTGTCCATGGAATTCTCCAGGCAAAAATACTGGACGTGGGTTTGCCACACCCTTCTCCAGGGGATCTTCCCTACTTAGGGATCGAAGCCGACTCTCCTGCATTGCAGGCAGATTCTTTACTGTCTGAGCTACCTGGGAAGCCCAGAGAATTCTGAAGCATGGAGAGAAAAAGTGGCTTGATCATGGGTTAGGACAACTGAACACCAATATATAAGGGTGCAAAAAAAAATTACCAAAAAGCTTTGAAATTCCACATATAATGAGGCAGACAAAGTTGTATTTTGCAGATCTTTTCAGGAACATTATATATGTACATATGCTACTGGAAGGAATATTTTCATAAGATCCTTGGAGGTTGTGTTTGGGTGAGACACACAATGAAACCCTCAGAAGGCAGTGTGCTCTAGTTAAATCATGAGTAGGAATCGGGTGGGTGGAGACAGTCTACTTTTGTGGGGTTTTTTTGGCTGCTTTGTGTCTTAGTGGCAGCACGTAGGCTCCTTTCTAATTGTGGTGCCTGGGCTTAGTTGGTCCGCAGCATGTGGAATCTTAGTTCCCCAGCCAGGGATCGAACCCATATCTCCTGCATTGGAAGATGAATCCTTAACTGCTTGACCACCAGGGAAGTTCCAAGTCTAGATTTTATTGTTGACATGGTAGGCAAAATTACATTTAAAAGTCTTTTAAAATGTCCTAAAATCACTAGTATTGGGGCCCTCAAAAGCTTAAAGACTGTACAGCTAAGCCCCCAAATGCATATATGATACAACTGTTCTACTGTAATACATGATCCCTAACTAGCCTTCCAAGGTGTCCACAGGGGTCAGGTCTGGTAAGCTGAAGGCTTTTATTCTGCTGAGTGATTGTGTAACCTGGTGGCTGCCCTTAGCTGCTTTTCTTACACTTCCCACACCTAGTGCTCTGTTCTTCCTCTCATTTTCAATATTCACAAAGTGAATAAGTTAGGTCCCATCTCACATAGTACAGAAAATTACATTTCAGATAGATTAATGAGCTACATGAAACTGACCACAATTATTTTAAAAACTTAAATGGGGCAGGGGAGGGGCGTGTTTACCTGGTGGTCCAGTGATTACCATTTGGCATTTTCACTGCCGTGGCCTGGGTTAAATCTTTGGTCAGGGAACTGAGATTCTTCAGGCCGTGTGGCATGACCAAAATAAGAAAAAAAACTTAAATTAAAAGTTTGAAAATATCCAGTGTTGGCAAGGATGCGCTGTCATGGGTACCATCTCCTAAGAGGACTATTTCTACTAAAATTTTTACTTAATTTCTGGTTATTTATTCTGAAAAATACTAAGTAAATACTAAGCTACCTATACAAAGTTATTCTTTGCAATATTGTTTATAATAGTGAAAAAAAAACTGGAAATAACCAAGATAGTCCTCAAAGAAATGTGGCTAAATAAAGATGTCTCCTTATAGGATGTTACACAACTTAAAAAAAAAATGAGGTAAATGTATACACATTGAGAGGGAAATAGTTCTAAGACACATAAAAACTTACTTGAATTCAATGTCTTCATGTGTAAGATGGGGAACTTTGACTAAAAAATCTCTTAGATTCCTTCATTCTATAAAAGGGAAGTACATCATATCACTCAAGAATTTTGTGCTCCCCAAAATAGAATTGTGCCCTGTTCAACTTTTTCCCTTGGAAAATCTAAAATTCACAAAACCAATAACTCACTCTCTACTTTTTCTCCTTTTTCAAGGTTAAATCTTTCTTTCTCAATTCAGATGATCAAACCATCACAAAATCTAAACATCAATAATAGAACTCTGAGAGTAAATATGTTCAAACAGATTTACTAAGCAAGGGTTTCCTATGCATGGGTTTGCATGGGTTTCATAGATAATACTCTAGAGCTAGGAATTCAACTGTTCACTCTCTATACCTTCTGTGTGCTGTTGGTGACATCGATCAACAATGACCTGCTTGGCCAAAAAAGGGCTGTGTTTATATGGGGAGGGGAGGCCTATAAAGAAGTCACCAATGACTGGGATGTCCCAGAGAAAATTGGTTCCAGTTAGAGGGGATTCCAAATTTATATGTGTCAAAAACAATCTCCTAGGAACTGATAACATAGAAAGGATTTCATTTTAAACAAGCAGGAAAGATAGCCCAAGGAAGCAGAAGTTTCATTTCCATTCTGACTAGATTTCCATAACCACTTGAGAACCCAGAGTTCCTTTGTTGCCCGGGTAGGAAATCTGCTTAACCTTTCTGGGCCCCAGCTTCCCCATATGGAAAGCAGGTATGGAACTTCTGACTCATCTTTCAGGATCATCTTGAAGAAAGGTGAATATTAGAAAAGGCTTCTGAAAACAGAAGAGAATACATCAATCACTCAGGGAAAATGAGGACATAGAGCATAACAATAAATTATCTACTGCCTAAGAAAGTCCTGGATCCAATATAGACAATCATTTTTGTTCTTATTTACAGCCAGAGAGGCCTCTGAAGTTCATTAGAGTCTGGAATTACTTCACACACTGCGTTGGAAATTTCAAAGGAAAATTTCAAGAAATTTTAAAGGAAACTTCCAAATCCACTAGCTGGTCTGTTCTTCACTAGATGTTAGCTGGAGAATTTACTTTTAAAAATCGGGCTGTATTTTGCACTGGTTGAGCCAAATTCTGCCTCTATCTCTGAGCAGCTTTTGCTGTTGTCAGTGTAGCTCTGTGTGTGGACAGGAGAAGAGAATATGGCCCTTTGTCCTTCCAGATGCAAATTATGGTCCTGATTCAACAAAAAATATCTGTCTTCCACACAGGCAAAGAACAGACTGTGAAGCCAGACTGATCTTTTGTGACATGGCACCCCACTCTTGCAGGAATTCACATTGTGGTTGGTGATTAGCTTTAAAAAAAAAAAAAAAAAGGATTCTGCAAGGCACGTAATTTGTAATTTTCCTGTTTTGAGGACTGTGCCAATGTTAAAATCGCAATTCAATTTTACTTAGAATAAACATAGTTTTTTGAAAGAGAGAAAGGATTTTGAAAGAAGAAATTGTTATTGGTCTGACATGGCAGTACAGGACGAAAGTTCACGCTTCATTACATCATTCTCTCTGGACCTTTGGGAAACCAATACCCAATAAAAAGCAGTCTAAGTAATATAACTGATTTCATAACTTTCTAGTTATGAAATTTCATAGCTTTCTAGTTATCAGTAGTCACTGATCATTCTTTCATTGAAGGTATGAATGGCTGAGATTAAGTGTTGGTGGACTACATATAGATCACACTCTTCAAATTAATAAAATACATTTGATCCCTATCTACTTGTAGTAGAATAATACTATATCTTTTATCTTATAGTTCTCCATTCTTTGTGTTCCTACCTCTCTCCCAGCATTTCAGCAGCAGTGAGGTCTTTTGTTTTGTATTGTTCCTAATGTAGAGTCTAAGCAGCTAAAATGCAGAGAAAGAAACTGATTAAATGTATAGCTTTGAGTTTTAAAAACTTGACTTTGATGATCAAGAGGAAATATGGAAGAGGGTGCCCAAGTCACTGCACCATAGTTAGTAACGAGTACTCTAACTGATTTTTTTTTTGTTGTTGTTGTTAATAGTAGTTGTTAGAAAATGTTTTCTGTTGTTTTATGACTGTTAGTCATTTATACTTCTTCTTTTGTGAGTTATCTATTTTTATGTTCTTCCCATTTTTGAACTGTAATTTTAGATTTTTCTCCATTATTTACTTCCACATTGATATGTCATTACTTGTAGCCAATATTTTCCTAGTTCGACATTTCTTTTTAAATGTAGCTTATGATTTTTTTGATCTGTAGAGCTTAACAATTTATGTAATCAAGTATACAGCTTCTCCCCCTCACCCCCAACCACCATATGATTTCCTCCATGGCTCATAGTTCTTATCCAATCACAGCTGAGATAAACGTTCACTCATACTTTCTTCTATTTTGTTTGTTGTTTGATTTGTTACAACAAATTCTTTTTCTAGCAGGTATCTTATTCATTCCATTAACAAGTATCTCTCGAGTGTCCATCTATGTGTGACAAGGTAACAAGATAAAAGAGTCAACAAAACACCTAGAGAATAACTATAGGCAATTACCAAACAGCAGAGGAGGGATGGGAAAAGAGGTCTGGCTGCTCTTGGTACAGTTTTTTTTTTTTTTCTCTAATTGGAGGATAATTGCTTTACAATATTGTTCTGGTACAGTTTAGAGCCCAGTGAAATTAGTCAGGGTTGAAACCACTGAAACCTTTCTAAACCTTAGCTTTTTTTTTTTTTCTCAGAAAATTCTCTTGTGTTAACTTGATAAACTAAAACAACTTCTGCTGCAGGCTAAATCTGATTAGTTAAACCATAGAGCACGAACCAAGTCCCAGGTACTAGGCAAAAAGTCATCAGAAACAAAGGATCTGAGAGAACTACTTGAGAAGGTCTTAAAGAGAAAACAAACAACAACAAAAAAATAACAAAACAACCTTCACCAAGATTTCAAGTCAGGATTCAGAGTAGCAGAGTTGTCTGAGATGATTTAGACTTGGCCTTCGCATAATACACAATAAAGGAAACAGAACGATCAGTAAATGAGAAAAAAAGGAGAACAATCTTAACTGTAATTGAAGAGGCTCCGAGTGCTTCTTGAGAGTGTTGTCACCCAAATTTAACCTGACACTGCCTTTGGGCTCAGCCTGTGGCCTGGGTCCAATGGGCAGGAATTAGAACTGCTTTGTGGGAGCACGATTTGCTGCTAGGCCTTGGGCAATGGCCTGACTGGAGGTCCCAGGGCTGGCTTGTCCCTGGAAGCTGTCCCAGTTGGACCTCATTGCTTAATGTTTCAGAGCTGCTGTGCGCTGGACTTTCTATCAGATTTCATGCTGTCTCCTCCCATGGCACACCCAGAATCACCCTTGGACATTCAGTCGTAAGAAATTCCTGGAAAATTGACAAGGGAGGGATGGGGAAACTGCAACCTGCTGCTGTGACTTGTAAGTTGGTGAGTCTGCTTGTTAATTTTGTGTCATCTTGGCTAGGCTATGGTATCGGATATTTGGTCAAACACAGTTGGGTGTTTCTGTGAATATCCTTTTAAGATGAGATTAAATCAATGGACTGAATAAAGCAGATCACACTCCATAAGGTGGTGGTGTTGTTCAGTTACTAAGTCATGTCTGACTCTTTATGATCCCATGGACTATAGCATGACAGTCTTCCCTGTCCTTCATTATCTCCTGGAGTTTGCTCAAACTCATGTCTTTTGAGTTGGTGATGCCATCCAACCAAGGTGGGTGGGCCTCGAGCAATCAGCTGAAGGACTTAAGGAAAAGACATCCCCTGAGGAAGAGGAAATTCTGCCAGCAGACTGCCTTCAGACTGGAGCTGTACAGTCAACTCTTTCCTGGGTCTCTAGCCTGCCAGACTGCCCTGCAGATTTTGGACTTGCCAGCCTCTACAATCACATGAATCAATTCTTTAAGATATCTTCTGACCTATCTGTCTCCTCTTGGTTCTATTTTTCTGAGAACCCTGACTACTATGGTGAGTAAAGAGCTCAATTAACCCTATTTTGGGCTTAGAGTGAGGAAAGAACTGAGGAGTAGTATATCTCCTTTACTTTTTATTTGTATGAGTTAGTGTTGGGTGCTGTTACATCAGACTTTTTGTGACCCCATGGACTGCAGCTTGCCAGGCTCCTCTGTCCATGGAATTCTCCAGGTAAGAATACTGGAGTGGGTTGCCATTTCCTTCTCCAGGGGATCTTCCCAACCCAAGGATCAAACCCACGTCTTCTGTGTCTCCTGCATTGGTAGGCAGATTCTTTATCTCTGAGCCACCTGGTGAGCCCTTTTATTTGTATTGTATACATGTTACATAATCATAGTTCATCAAGAGTCAGGACTAATGAGAACTAAATAGTCCTGATTTGTATGATGTAATTAGATGCATAAATATTTTGTGTTTCTATGATTTCCAGATGTTTTATCACCCACACTCACCTAAAAACCACTCATCTGACTGTATAAGCAAAACAAGAATTCTTTCCCAACTTTCTGCCATGCTTTTCACCTTAAGTTATACAGCCCCTCAGTAGGAGGAGTCTGGCCAAATCCATCAAGTGGTTTCAGAAATGTAATGATATAATCCCCAAACTGAGCATTTGTACAGTATTTCAGTTTCGTAAGGTGCTTTTATATAGTGTTATATATATATTCTTCTATATAGTGTTATAGATATCCTTCTAAATAACTATATTAATTAGGTTAAAGAGGTATAATTAATCTAATCACCTCCATTTTGTCAAAGAAGAAACTGAAAACCAAGAAGTATGAATGTGTCATAAAGCGAGTCTATTGAGCAAGACTATGGCAAAGCAAGTATTAGAAACCAGTTCTATGCTTCACGTAACACTTTTTCTTACCACTCAAACATGCATATCATCAGGTATACAAACTCTCTGCCAGACTAGAGTGCCAACTCTGCATTCTAAAAAGAAAATCTATTGTCAGTGATTTTTGACAATGAGATGAGAGGAAAGGGAAGCCAGGGCAGTGGGAACCATGCTTAGTTAGGACTGAGGATAACTAGAGAGCTGCAAGTTCAGGAAGTAACTGGTGAGTCATTTCCATTAGACTGAATTTCTAAAGTGTAAAAAGGGACTCAAGGCTTTTATTCCTCCTTTCTTCTTCAGCATGTCAAAATAATTCAAATGGACCCTACTCTGGAAAGTAGTTCCTAATCATCCAGTCAAAATTAACCACTATCTCTTCTGTGTGGTCATTCACATCTTCTATTATAGGACTAATATATATGGCAGAAAGTGAGGAAGAACTAAAGAACCTCTTGATGGTTGTGAAAGAGAAGAGTGAAAAAGTTGGCTTAAAACTAAATATTAAAAAAACTAAGGCCATGGCATCTGGTCCCATCACTTCATGGCAAATAGAAGGGGAAAGTGGAAAAGTGGAAGCAGTGACAGATTTCATCTTCTTGGGCTCTAAAATCACAGCTGATGGTGACTGCAGCAATGAAATTAGAAGATGATTGCTTCTTGGCAAGAAAGCTAGACAGTGTGGTAAAAAAGCAAAGACATTACTTTGCCGACAAAGGTCAGTACAGTCAAGGCTACGGTTTTTCTGGTAGTTACGTGTGGTTCTGATAACTGGACCATAAAGTAGGCAGAGTGCAGAACTGATTCTTTCAAACTGGGGTATTGGAGAAAACTCTTGAGAGTCCCTTGGACAGGAAGGGGATCAAACTGGTCAATCTCAAATGAAAACAAACAAACAAACATAAATTGTTATACCAAAAAAAAAAAAAAGGAAATCAACCCTGAATACTCATTGGAAGGACTGATGCTGAAGCTGAAGCTCCAATACTTTGGCCGCCTGATGCTAACAAACAACTCATTGAAAAAGACCTTGATGCTGGGAAAGGTTGAAGGCAGAAGGAGGGGCAACAGAGGATGAGATAGTTGGAGGGCATCACTGATGCAATGGACATGAACTTGAGCAAACTCCATAAGATGGTGAGGGACAGGGAATCCTGGCATGCTACAGTCAGTGGGGTTGTGAAGAGTCAGATACAACTTGGCCACTGAACAACAATAATATGAGACATGTATGTGTCCCTAACTAGACTCCAACTGTCTTGAGGGCAAGACTGGGTCTTTCTCTGCACACTCATTCAACTGAGATTACAGGCCTTTCTTCTATTTCAGACAATGTGCCAGAAACAGTGGATACAAAGGTGAACTTCCTTATCTGGATGGTGAAATATACATGGCCAGTAATTACAATACAACATGATAAATGCTTCAATAAAAGTATGTGTACAGGATCCCAGCATCCATCCGTTTATGGCAGCGCACATGTCAATCCCAATCTCCCAATTCATCCCACCCCTGCCCTGTGTCCACACATCTGCTCATTCTCTACATCTGTGTTGCTACTGCTGCCTGAGGACAGGTTCATCTGTACCATTTTTTTAGATCCCATATATATGGGTTGATATATGATATTCATTTTTCTGACTAACTTCATTATAACACAATATTCTAAAGCAACTATACTCCAATTAAAAAAAAATGTGCCAAGTGGAAAGCGCAGAAAAGGGGGCACCTAATCTATTTGGAAGGAAAGTTATGATCTAGATAGCATATTGAAAAGCAGAGACATTACTTTGCCAACAAAGGTCCGTCTGCTCAAGGCTATGGTTTTTCCAGTGGTCATGTATAGATGTGAGAGTTGGACTGTGAAGAAAGCTGAGCACCAAAAAATTGATGCTTTTGAACTATGGTGTTTGAGAAGACTCTTGAGAGTCCCTTGAACTGCAAGGAGATTCCAACCAGTCCATTCCCAAGGAGATCAGTCCTGGGTTTTCATTGGAAGGACTGATGCTGAAGCTGAAACTCCAGTACTTTGGCCACCTCATGCGAAGAGTTGACTTATTGGAAAAGACCCTGATGCTGGGAGGGATTGGGGGCAGGAGGAGAAGGGGACGACAGAGGATGAGATGGCTGGATGGCATCACCGACTCAATGGACATGAGTTTGAGTAAACTCCGGGAGTTGGTGATGGACAGGGAGGCCTGGCGTGCTGCGATTCATGGGGTCGCAAAGAGTCGGACACGACTGAGCAACTGAACTGAACTGAATCTATTTGGAAGGGAGTTAAAAAGGGTGATTTTCAAGCAATGTCCTGTAAAATAAAAATCTGTGAAGTGTACAAAAGAAATAGGGCATGTCATGCCCAAGGCACAGAATGTACAAAAGCAGATGAAATAAGAGAGCATGACCAGTGAGATAATTAGTAGCTTTGTATGACCAGTGAGATAATTAGTATGGTGTGAAGTTGGAAAGGTAGGAAGACTGTAATAAAAAGGACCTTCATTACCAAGCTACATTTTTACTTTATTCTCTAGGTTGGTCCTTCCCAAACTGCAGACCACAGACTGGTTTCAAAATTGGTAATGTAGACTATATAAGTCTAAAAGATGTGTGATTGTGTGTGTGTGTGCAGGCAGTGGGGTGTGTTGTTTGTAGATGCTTTAATAATATATTCAAATTTATATATAAGAGGTATTAGAGGTTATAGTAGCTTTTTGTATTAATCAATAAATACTAAAGGGACTTCCCTGGTGGGCCAGTGGTTGGGAACCTGGCTTGCAATGTAGGGAATGCAATGCGGGTTTGGTCCCTCGTTGGGGAACTAGGATCCCACATACTGCAAAGCAACTAAGCCCTGGCACACTAGAGAGTCTGTGTGCCACAACAAAAGATCTTGCACAATGCAACAAAGATCCCACGTGCTGCAACCAAGACCTGATGCAGCCCAATAAAAAAATAAAGTTAAAAAATTCTAAAAACTGAACTACTATTATGTGAGGGTCCAAAGGGTTTTGTTATTAATATCAAAAGGGATCCTTAAAGTCATGATAAGTCAGTGAAAAGATATCCTTTTAAGAAAAAAAAAACTTTCTTTTTTTCATAATACATGATACATTTAAAAGCTTTAGAAAATACACATAAACAAAACAGGAAGAAACACCCAGTAGTCCTAGTACTTGGAGGTACCTAATTCATATTTGTTATATAGACATCCAAAAATATACACAAATGTTTTAAATTCTATACATGTTTAATTGTAATCGCTTCACTTATATTTATAAATATGTTGACACATTGCATATGTGCATTTGCATTATTAAAATAGATACATAGTATTCTATTGATGGGTATTCCATAATTTATCTCCTATTGTTGGATGTTTAGGTTGTTTCTAATTTTTCCATTACAAATAGTAAAGAGATGAATATCTCTGTGTTTATCCTCCAGTTAGGATACACAACCAGAAGGGAGTCCAAGTATAGCAGCATTTTGAGGATTAGATGAATATTGTCAAATTACCTTCAGAAAATCTGCACCTAATTTTACACCTACCACTTGTGTATGAGTGTTCATTCCCATACCTTTGTCATGACATAATACTAATAAAAATAAAACAATAATAGTTAATATTATCTTAGTATTTGACAAATAGAAAATATTTTAAGCTATTTTTCTACTACCACTGTTGAACTTTAACAAAACAAAAAAAACTGCTTCAAGGGATAATTTACATTTCATAAAATTCAACCAATATAAGTTTACAATTCACTGATTTTTAGTAATTATACAATTGTGCAACTATTACCACAATCCTCTTCTAAAACATTTCTATAGCCCTAGAAAATCTCTTCCCCATGGCCATTTAGGGCTTCCCTGGTGGCTGAGGGCTTCCCTGGTGGCTGAGTGGTAAAGAATTTGCCTGCCAGTACAGGAGATGTGGGTTTGATCCCTGGATTGGGAAGATACCCTGGAGAAGGAAATGGCAACCCACTCCAGCATTCTTGCCTGGGATATCCCATGGACAGAGGAGCATGGTGGGGCCACAGTCCATGGGGTTGCAAGAGTCAGACATGACTTAGTGAATAAACCATCACCACTACATAGCCACTTCTAGAGAACCCCTGCTCTCACCCCCAGTCTTAGGCAACTATGATTTTGCTTTCTGTTCCTATAAATTTGCTCTTATTAGACATGTCATATAAATGGAACCATACAATATGTAGTCTTTTGCATCTGGCTTTTTTCACTTTCATGGTTTTGAGGTTTATCCATTAGCACAGATCAATGTTTTGACCCTGAACTTTTTTCTCTTCATGTTTACTTGTAGTTATTTTTCTGAGTCATCTGTTACAAAGGCCCTTGCCCATTTTTCTATGGGGACACTGAAGGTTTTTACAGAAGAGGGACATAATCAGGGTCATGTTACATAAAGAGAATTCTGGCAGCACTAGGAAGGATGTCTCTATATTTGCATTTCCAAATCTGGGACAATCAATAGGCTTACTGCATTGAATAAGGCTTTATCATCTACAATAAAGAAGTATAATATGAGCTACAAAAAAGAACTAAAATTTATTTGAATAGTTTCCTTAAAGAGTGTCATAAATTTCTAATTTAGTCTCTAAAAAATGTTTCAAGTTAATTCTTCAAAGTTGATTTTACTTTATTGTAGTAAAAACAGTTCCTTTGTAGAACAAAGTGAAGGGTAAATAAATGTTGCCTTACCCTAGTGTTGCTCTTGGGAGCTTGTCTTCTGCATCAAGAGCCCTTAAAATGTTTCTCTAAGATTCATCGACAATTAAGTTCACAATTTGACAAACAAACATTATCTTTGAACTCTATTATTTCTGTAAAGTTAAAAGGAACACCCCTCCCCCATTCTTCCCCACCCTTGCAAAACCCTCCCTCAAGTAAAAGCTCCCTGATCTAAAAAAGAAAAATGTCCCATTGTGTTTCCAAATTACCGATTATTGAATTTGTACCCAATGCTATTTTGCTATATCCAATTAGACCCTCCCAGAAGCAAAGGCTCAGATCTGATAAAAGTTGTAATTCTTAAAGGTAACAGAGACACTCAAAACTTGACATATCAGAGCACTAAAGCTTTTCTTCATTCCATCTCCTTCGGTCTTCTAAATCCATCTTCAGAGCTGTCTGAGGATGATTTGCCTTAAAGCTAAAAAAGTTAAAGCAAGGGTCCTCATTTGTACGGGGTTCTCTGTAGTTTTTATGTTTTTCCTTAAGAGGTATCAACAAATTATATAACCTTCAGGGCCCACAAAACCTGGATTTGCTCTATAACCAACAACCTCTATCCCCCATTCCAAAGGTTCTTTGTAAGTTGGTCCTTTACTTCACGGGTTGAGTGTAGATATATTTCTACAAGCCTCTTCTGTGATTTGTAACAGATATTCTTTTAGAAAGTTTGTCATGCAAATCATAAAGTAACAACATACATGATTAGAATCTCATCACTTCAACAGGTCATGCACGTTTATTCTATGGTCCCTTCCAGTTTTTGTCCACAAAGTCCACATGCTGACATGTCCACATGCCTACAAAGTTCACTTTACAGAGTCACATTTATTGCACCACTGTTCTATATTCATCTCTTCCAAATGTGTATGATGTGGCTCTGTCACAGTCTTCACCAGAAAGAGGGCAGCAGAAAAGGATCACAGCCTGGTACTTCATAGCACCGAGAAAAAATGACCAGCTGCCAGAGTTCAGAGGGTGGGCAAGGATGCTGACTGTCAGGGCCACATTCGGCTTGTCACCACTGGATGCTCCATGCTTAGCAGGGCCCGGCATCCAGTTAGTACGTAAATATTGACCAAGGGACTAATTCTGAATTTGACTGATTCAATTTTGTTGATTTTTTTTTTTTGGGGGGGGTGGGTACGGGGGGTAATATAACTCCCAAGTAGAAACAAAAAACTTTTAAAAATAGCAATTACTGTTTTTCATTAAAGTGGAATCTGTATCACTAATTCACTGATTAATTAAACAAGTGTATAAAGTATCTGTTGGGAACAAACACAATTGGATTACTTAGAATATCATGAGAGATCCAAAGGAGGAAAATTTTGCATAGTGTGCTCTTTCTAATTCCTATCCCAATCCTGTACTTTATGGCCTGAGATGAAAGAAGAGAAAGGAGACAATTTTAATCTTTTAAAAAGACATAGCCTTATTTTATCTTTAAAGAAGAGTTGAGAAATAATGAAAAAAAAAATTGGGAACAAAAGGAATTTTAACTTAAAACAGAGCTCTTTAATTGCCTTTCATGGCTCTGTAAGATTATGCCGGAAACTGGGCTACCCTTATCTGAAGTGCCACATGCATTGTGAAATGCTCTTAGAGGGAGAAGTCATAACAGTTTATTGTTCGAAAAGGATCATTTTAGGTTTTGGTTAACAACAAGCAGCATATCACTTTTTCTAAGATCTAGAACATGAAGGAGGGGGCTATGTGGCCTGTTGTGAGACAAGCTCATCGATCACTTGGATGACCTGACGTGACACTCGCAGAGTCACTTGAGAAGTTTGACCCAGCAAAAGATAGACTCCTTCTGTCCTGGGGTCAGTGCTAGTAGGCAATAGCATTTCCCGGCAAAATTCAATTAAACAAAATCCCAGAGTTGTTTTTCGTCAAGATAATTTTGATTTAATTTCTTCTTTAATATAAAAGGACAACAAATTACATTTCAGAGAATACTGTTTAGGTTATGAGTTTCCCGTCAGAGCTGTTTTGCAATACATGTTTATATAATCAGAAGTCAAGTCTGCAGTCGACTGTGAAACTGGGGCCAGCCAGGCTGCCTTGTGTGCGTTCCACTTTGTACAACAAACTCATGTACCATTCTATTGTTTAGGTATCAGTGAGGTTTGGATTTTGTTTTGGACATTTGAATTGGGATGAGAAAATGAACCAGCAGCAGCAGCAGATTCTAAAATGCAATAGGGGATTGGAAGAGTCAATACTGTCAAAATGACTATACCATCCAAAACAATCTATAGATTCAATGCAATCCCTATCAAGCTACCACAGTTTTTATTCCTTGGAGGGTAATCTCTGTAAGACAGTATCATCTGCCAGGTGACCATGAAGAAATAGGTGCCACCATTGCCGAATTGGCAAGAGTGGGCATTGTACCACCTGTTCATAGTCAGTTTAACTCCCCAGTGTGGCCTGTTTGGAAATCTGATGGCTCATGGTGAATGACTGTGGACTATAGAGAACTGACTAAGGTGATGCCACCTATATATGCTTCTATGCCAAAGATTCATGACTTCATGGACTGAATAACCACAGCACTGGGTGCTTATCACTATGTGGTGGACTTAGTTAAGGCTTTTTTATTTATTGCTATAACTGGTGAGAACTAAGATCAATTTGCATTCACTTGAGAGGGAGGCCAGTGGACGTTTCAGGTTCTTCCCCAAGGTTACCTGCACAACCCAACTATTTTTCATGGGCTGGTTACAGAGGACATGGCAAATGGAAATGCCCAACATCAGTGAAGCTGTTTCATTGTATTGATGATGTATTACTAACCTGTAATTCTCTTGCAGATTTAAAAGAGTGTGCACCAGGGCTAGTAAAGCATTTGGAATCATGTGGGTGAGCGATGAACACCACCAAATTCCCTCTTTGAAGGAGTGGGGCCAACACCTATGGGGCTTTTTGCAGGTCCTTAATGAGAAACCCCACAAGGGTGGAGTTGCCCCTGTGGAGGCTCTCCTGCATCGTGCTGCCACACCCACACAATTANACTTTTGGATTCTGTGGGAGAAGGCGAGGGTGGGATGTTTCAAGAGAACAGCACTGAAACATGTATATTATCTAGGGTGAAACAGATCATCAGCCCAGGTTGGGCTGATAAAATGCAATAGGTCAGTGCTTTGTAAAGAGAACAAGCAACATCAATATTTCCTGTTCTAAACAATGGGCCCAAACATTTGACATTTTGAATATTGATATTTAAATAAGTCAAGTTTTTGGAGAGAAAACTTTATAGAATCTTTCTGTTCATATTGCCCAGTGTATTACTAATTATTTCCCCTTTTGATCAATTGTACTTTGCTGTCCATGATTCACAGAAGTGAACAAGGCAGTGTGAAAACACAAAGAGAACAATAAATAGCACACAGAAGCAGTTAAACCTCTCTTATTTAGAGGCAATTTGCCAAAAGCTATTACACTTTACAAGATCCCACTTGACGGTGAATGCATCAAAGATCTAAAATCTTGGACAGTTATCCTTGCAGCTTTACCACTCAGCTTCCTTACCTGCCCTCCCTGAGGATCCCAACTGGAAGGGATCTGTTTCTCTTGGTTTGATGGTACCCTGTGGCACAGTTAACTGTAGGCATAGCTCCTTCACTAGATTACAAATTCCTTTAGGATATGAATGATGTCTTATACATATTTGCCTCCTCCAAAGTACTGAACGTTGCAGTGCTGAGGTTCAGGGCAGGCTGCTCCAAGATATGGCACAGTGGTATACTGATTATTCTGAAATGAAGTTACTTGAGAAACAGTTGGTAGAAAAAAAAAAGATATAAAAACCACTCATTTCCTCCTTCTTCATGAAAGCAAGAAGTAAATCTCAAGGTAAAGGAATGCTCCCTATACCAGAAGGTTAGAAAATATCCTTATCATCAGAGTTAGGGAATTCAAGGCTTAAACAGTTATAAACAAACTTGTTACTTCCTCATTAGTTTGCTATCCTAGCATACATTAAATCTTCACCAATTTTTTTCCTTGTCTAAAAATGATATATAAAGAGCTTGCTTTGGTCATTTGGGGAATCATTTCTATGAGAATTCCACACATGTGAATTAAATTGTTTTGTTTTTTCTCCTGTTAATCTGTCTTGGGTCAATTTAATTATTAGACCAGCCAAAAGAACTAAGAAGGGTGCGGGGAAATTTCCCCTTCCCTGACAGTGTTATTCAATTATTTGTGGAGTAAGTCAAAATATAGATTAAAAAATTCTCCTAATAAACTTCAAGTAGAACCAAAAACTCTTCTGCCTCTCCATTTAGAGTTTGCATTGTATTTGCAAAGTATACTTAGTGTAAATAAAGTAATTATTTCCCTCTAAAACAGTCCCTTTTGTGGGTAAGTTTATTCTTTCCTCCACTGCATTTTTTTGGGTGTGAAGATGAAACAGGTTTTGGATGAATACCCACAGATGTCAGATGTCAAAGCATATTTCTTTGTTTTTTCTGGCTTAGCATTAGGATACTACATATTCATCCAGAGCCTTTCCAAGGAAGAGCTCTCCAAACAAGCTATTTTAAATTTTAAAATGTCCTTGATCATGTGTTAACTAAGCTAAATTCAAAGAAACTAAAATAAATCACATCAGAGCAAAAAGTAAAAGAAATTTAATTAGAAAATTCAAAGAGATGACAGTAGAAAAAGTCTAAAATTCATTGTAGAATGACTGGAATGGGACCTTATCTCATCATTCTAATGTGCGAGCCAGGACACACAGACTTGCACAAGGAGTGTTCCAACCAAGCTAATCACCAGGCCAAAGGAGCTGGCTCTGTGAAGAAAAACCTAAGGAGGCAGTCACTCAGCATAAATCTAACATAGGATTTTGGAAGTTCTAAATTGGCAAATCTCTCAAAGGAAACAAAAAGCAAATATCCACATTGGTTTTTAGTTTAATAAATAATATATTCATTTTCATATTCACTTTATTAAATGGGAAAAACACTTCAAATCATTTTTTCTATGTGTTAAAACATTACAGTGTTTTAACATCATTGAAAAAAGGCAATGCAAATTTGTCTCTCCTGTTTTTATTAAAGACAAGGGAGGAAACTCGGGATAAACAGGCATCTCTCAAAGTCTGGCTTTTGATTCCTGTGTCTCCAACTGAACAAAACTCTCCAGTCACAAAGATGCATAGGCACAAAGACACACTTTCTCCCATCTTCTACTCCTGTTCTGAGAGAGGTTAACACAAAGATCCAGATATTTAATGCATATTTTTCTAATTACTTAAAATCTACCAGCAGTTTTTGCTAAAAACAAAAACTTTAGCGAGACTGTCTCATTCAATAAACATAACTAAGTTCAAGAGGCTATTAGTGCATATTAAGGTTTATAGAGATGAAATGACATAACTTCCAAGATTGACTTTAGAAAGTTTCAGTGGAAAAGAAAAACTGGGGGATAGATGAGCAATGGCAAAGTCTTATAATTATTATACTAAATGTAGGGGATGAGTATATGAGGAATTTGTCATTTTTTTTTTCCTACTTTTGTGTATGTTGGAGAATTTTCATAAACAGACTTTTTAAAAAAGAGCTTAGGTAATACATGGTGTATTAATGACTCAGATGGTAAAGAATCTGCCTGCAATGCAGGAGACTCAGGTTCGACATCTGAGTCAGGAAGATCCCTTGGAGAAGGAAATGGCTACCCACTCTAGTATTCTTGCCAGGAGAATCCCATGGAGATTGGAGTCTGGCAGGCTACAGACCATGGGGTTGCAGAGTCAGACACTACTGAGTGACTAATGCTTAGGCAATATAGGTCATCATTATAGGTATGGGTCTGTGGACTAGACAGAAACCTCTGCTGAAAGAAAGAATGGCTGGTCTTGAATCTGGGGCTCTTTACCAGGTATAAAAAACCATTTCACCTGTTTTTCTCATAGGAAGGAAATAACAAATTTATGTACTATTTTGGAATTGTGTATTAACACAAAACTGTTTAATGTGACTATAAAATCAGAGAAATCTACCTTTTCCAGCTGAACATAGAGGTTTCATTACATGGAAGACATGGATTTGGATTCTGGTTTAACTTTTAGTTTGAAAGGAAAAGAGGAGAGTTTTAATTACAAGAATTTAGATTCCCTAATCCTTTTCTCAGATCCAAGCAGTTTTTCTTATGGGGATTTAACCTCTACCCTGTCAATTACTTCCATGGTGGCTCAGGTGGTAAAGAATCTGCCTGCAGTGCAGGAGACCCAGGTTCGATCCCTGGGTCAGGAAGATCCCCTGGAGAAGGGAATGGCAACCCACTCCAGTATTCTTGCCTGGAGGATTCCAAAGACAGAGGAGCCTGGCAGGCTACAGTCCATGGGGTTGCAAAGAGTCAGGCACGACTGAGCACCTAACAATTTCACATTACCAGTTAGAGAAGTAAGCTGTGTGGGGGGGTGTCTCCTTCTGGAGGTCATACTTTAAACAGAAGTAATCCTTTCCTGTGTTGAAGAAATCACTTTCACCCCCTGCAAAGAATACACTTTTAAGGAGGTCTCACTCCGTCTTGTTCCTCTCTATTCCGTTAACACCTTACATATCTCTCTCTTCCACGCTTCGTATACTCCTCCTCATTGGTCTATTCACCACATCCGATGCAGTCCTCAGGGATCCAAAAAGCAAAAGGGCCTCCTGGGTCCTGGAGGGCAACCATACTTGCTCCTACGCAAACTGGGGCTGGGGAACTAGAACTGGATCAGAAACAAAGAGGAGTCAGACTGCAACAAACTCTCCGAGTTCATTTATTTTGTATAAGTTTCACAACCATGGGATCTGTATTGACATTGTAGATTTTTTTTTCCTGTTTTTAAAACATATTAAGGACTCACATAAGAATTCTCTCTACTAACACTGATGCCATGGACACTTTTTTAAAATGAGGTATTTGGTTTACTGTCCAAAACAGTAAAGGTTTGGGTAAACTGCAGAAATGATCTAGCAAGTAATAAAATGAAACTGAATCACTGAAACATAAAATAGAAATGGGATCTGGCAATACAGTTGCTGTGACACCCTGAGAATCTTTACTGTAGCCAAAATAAACCTACCCACCTTAATCTCTACAAGTAAAACCTAGCATGATTTTTCCTAGAGGCATATGTTTCCACTTGGAAAAGAGTGAGAATGAAGAGATTAGTGAACATTAGAACGGTAGAGAGATTAAGACCACTCTTACTGCCCTTTTCCCCACTCTAATAATAATTACCTACTACTGGACCCTTATTTCCTTGTTATCAAATGACCTTAGGAAAACATTTATAGTCATGGCAAGAACAGCATTTACAAGTGAATTTATGTGGAACTGTTGTCAAAGTTAAAAATACCATGAAAGATCTTGAGAAGGCAGTTGACTATTTCACATAAAAAACTGAACAATCAGGTTAGCCAGGCCCAAAATAATGATGAAAACGTGAAAGATTAATTTAGGCCACGTGAGACGGTCTTCTTGGTGGAGGGAAATTATATAGATGAGAGATGGGTATAAGAATACAAAGGCCAGGCCACATGCTGCTCCTGAATACCTGCAGAATAAAAAAGTTTTTAGGTTAATATTCATTCTGCATTTTTCTGATTTACAATTATGGTAAATATAGGATAATTTAAATCGTCTTCAATCAGATGTTACAATAAAATTATTTTTGATTCATTTGTTGTTGACATAAAGCATCTGAGTTTAAAACTTATTTTACTTGCTAAGTTAATATAAAATACTATTTCCTGTTCATCTTTATAGCATCTGCTTGACAGAGTTTTTTATTTCTCTCTCAAGTCTCCGTAGTTCCTCTGTATCTCAGTGATTATGGCTACTTCCTCAGAAACATCTGGAGATAGGCTTCCTATCTTTGATCTTTTATAAACTAATTATAAATTCTGAGTTGTTGAAGGACTGCAAGCATCTGCCTAAGACTGAGAACAGATGAGTGCCTTGTTGGTATTCAGCGTAATTATCAAAGATAGTAACAAAAACACCTAAACACATGACTGAGGAACCTGCACTTACTTCTCTCCTTCCCTATCTTCAATTTCCTTGTAAATAGCTTAAAGGGAACTTGTAAATCCATTATATCTCACAAGTGTCAGGCTAAAGGTCTCCTCTTTTGTCTTTTGCTACTTTTATAGGAAAGGGTCTTCAAAAAAAGTAACTCAGTCCTGCCTTCTACAAGGTTGAGGAAGAAAAATCAGATCATTCTAAATTTCAGTTTTCCATGAGCATCTGAGGTCACAACTTTAATCCCAATCTACGCAACCTACCACAGTGTATTTGGAGAATGGATATTAAGGAAAGAGCCCATCTGGGATCTAAACTTTCTGACTACAATTGACACTGAAATTTGTTCTTGAGTAGAAATGGATTAAGAAAGTTAGGACATAGCCTTGACATATTAGAGACCTTCCAGGTCCCCCAAGAAGTTATATGCTATATATTAAAAATAACTTTATTTTGGATAAAGAGAAAGAAATACACTGGAAGATTTTGAGAAAAAGAGAAGGGGAAAGGTACCTAAGGCTAAGGAAAATGGTGCTTCTAGAGTGAGGAATAAGCAAAAGTGGAAGATAAAGATCCCCTTAACTGATACCAGTGGACTGTACTTAAATGTTATCAATTTTAAATACTCACTGGAATTTTAAACAATTATATCAAGACAACAACAATAAGAAGGCATAAAAATAAAGACCAGTATGTAAAGGGGCAAAGTTCCCTTACAGGCAGTACCTTATGATTCCTCCTATGTTTGGGTAGAAACAGGCCATGATCACTCCAGCTCCCACAATGAACAGATTAAAAATCAACACGTGGAAAATGCTAAAAGTTGCGAAGACAGTTTGGGGAAAGAAAAAATATAAAAACAGGCAAATTATAACAATTAATGTGAGAATGAAATTCATTACTATCATCTCTAAAATGAGAATGTCTTAAACTTGACAATAAAATTACAGCCTAAATAGAAGGTAACAGGAGTACTCAATACTGGTGGTGGGACAGTGACATTGGCCCTTTCCTGTAATTATATAACCAAGTTAAATTCTGTAGGAGCAAACTGGTAGTGTATATCAGGGTTCACATTCTTTGATCTGTAATTCCATTTGGGTGGAATATCATAAGAAAATTAAAAAACTATTAACATAAAGGTATTTGTAAAAAGTACTGATGCTTTTGAACTGTAAAAAGAATTTATGCTTTTGAACTGTAGTGTTGGAGAAGATTCTTGAGAGTCCCTTGGACTGCAAAGAGATCAAACCAGTCACTCCTAAAGGAAATCAGTCCTGAATATTCATTAGAAGGACTGATGCAGAAGCTGAAGCACCAATACTTTGGCCGCTTGATGCGAAGAACTGACTCATTGGAAAAGACCCTGATGCTGGGAAAGACTGAAGGTGGGAGGAGAAGGGGACAACAGAGGATGAGATGGTTGGATGGCATCACCAACTTGATGGACATGAATTTGAGCAAGTTCTGGGAGTTGGTGATGGACAGGGAAGCCTGGTATGTTGCAGTCCATGGGGTCTCAAAGAGTTGGACATGACTGAGTGGCTGAACTGAACTGATTTGTAAAAAGACAGCAGCATCCTAGATATATGGCAGGGTAACAATTTACTTGATGGAATACATTTTAAAATATTAAAAATAAATAACCACTGTTACCTAGATGGTAAAAATCTATCTAGGCAACTTGAGAAAAAAGCTAGTTAGATTTTTACTACACAAGAAAATCTTAAAATGTTTGAAAAAATATCAGAAGGAAATACACTAAAAGGAAGTAGTGACTGTGTTACAATTTGGGATTTGGGGTAGTTTTTCTTCATTTGTACACCTGATAAATTTCATATGTTTTATAGTATTTCTTTGTAAAGTATTATTTTACTTTTATAATTAGAAAACTAAATTTTATCAAGGGAAAGGCAAAATGGGCAGGTTTTTATTTTTCAGATTTAGTCACGTAAAGCGATTCAGTATTTACCATGAACAGAATATCAGCTAAGTAAATTGAACTAGATGTTAACAATTCAAGGCTTGGGAAATCAATTTTGGGACAGAAATAATCATATGGTAGATGGAATGTGATGCTTGAGAAATAACTCCATTTCCTCCTAAAATGATCCTTAAAAGTCAAAGTTACATATCAAGGCAATATTTTAAGCCCAAGTTATCAGAGGTTAATTAATCCCTGGGAAAGATTACAGAAAGAATTAAAAATAAGGAAAATTATTTATACAAATAAATGGTAAGTCATCTATCTTGATGAATTACAAAGATATTCAGGCTTCCAGATCTTACTATTTATCTAAAAACTCCAACCTTAAAATTGCTTCAGAGGTTTGAGACATTGGCTGGGCCTCTGTTATTTCTGAATTGTAAAAGGAAACAATTTTGTGTATTTTTCCAAAGCAGTGGTTCTCAAAGTGTAACCGCGAACCTCAGGGAAGTTTCCAATTCCCTTCCAGGAAGCTCTGAGGTAAAAATTATTTTCCAGTCAGACAAGACATTACTTGCTTTGCAAAAGCAATGGTGGGTACCCTGCGGCCCCCTTAGATTGGACAGAGGTAGCTGCAACAATCTCTGTATTCTATACTGTATTCTTTACTCCAAACACTTTCAAAAAAAAGTTTTATTAAAAATTGTCCTTGATAAAGGACTGAAAATTATTAGTTTTATTAAATCTCATACTTCGGTGTTGTTTTTTGTTTGTTTTTGGATGCACTGGGTCTTCGTGTGACTCGCGGGCTCTTCATTGCAGTGCATGAGCTTTCTCTAGTTGTGGCGCAAAATCTCATACTTTGAACAAACATCTTTTAAGTACTCTGTATGATCAAATAGGAAGTATATAATAAAGCACATCTGCTGCATACTGAAGTACAGTGGCTGTCTTGAGGAAAAGCACTTGAGCAACTGAACTGGGGGACAACCGTGCTGTTTTTTCCAAAGACCATTTTTAATTGAAAGACAGACAAACTATGGTTCTTTAGATTTGGGTATGTGACAGACATTTTCTTGAAAATAAATGATATGATCTTATCATTTCAAGAAAAACAACTGGTAGTTTGTGTTGCCAAGCATAACATTTGAGCTTTCAAGTAAAAATTAGAATTTGGAGAGCTGGTATTTGCCACCATGAGAGCTGGACAGTATTCCAATATCTAAGACTTCTATAATGCAACTGGTGGTGATAATAGCAAAAGTGGGTTTTGATAATATATAATGAAATGGGTCAATATTTGGAGTATCTATAGAATTCAGTGAACCAATATTTTCCAAACGACTAAACCTAATGTTATAAAATCATACATGGGTAGAAGATCCAAATTGTAAGACAGACCAATGGCTTTTAATGTAACTGAGTTTCAGATTCAACTAACTTTTATTAAACTACCACCTGTCAAGGTTTGGCACAGTATCAAAGAAAAATTTCCACAAGGATCTGGAAAGGCTATTAAAAGTACTTCCTTCTTGCTCCAACTATGTATCCATGGAAGGGTGTGTCTTCTTCATATATTTAAACAAAAATTACATATTATAAGAGAATGAATGTAGAAAATAGGATAGTCCAATGATCTACTAGCAAATCAGACATTGAAGAGTTTTGAAATGTAAAAGAAAATTTTTTGGAAATTGTTAGTTTTCAAAATATCATCTATGTTAACAAGTAATGGTTTTATTATTGCTTTTTAAATAAATTAATAAACATTTTAAAAGTTTGGTTCTAATTTTTCATGTTAAATATTGATGGATATAACCCACATAAACTAAAGTTCCTGGGGGTCCTCAAATAAACCTTAAGAGTGTTAAGGGGTCCTGAGATCAAAGTATGTTCCAAAGTATGCAGTGTGTAGAGTACTTGCAACTGTAGGATAAATGATAACATGTTCTTGATGGTAGGGGAAGAAATGTAATGTGAATGCAAGAGGGAAATTCCAGACTTTTTCCAAGAAGAGAAAACATTCTAACAGCCAACATTATGCAAAATAACAGCAGAAAATAGGAATAATGCATTTACCTACAATTTTTTTTTCATCTATGACTTAAACTGTATTTATTATTTTGGTGAATGTAAATACAGCAGGGCATATAAACACAATAGGATTCTTACATTTACTGAAATCCAATGTGAGAACTGTAGCTGCTGCTGTGGTCAAGGCTAGAGGCTTGATAACTCTTGATGTTCACTTTTAAAAATTTTCTGTTTTTAAAACTACATACTTATAACCAATTATTTGTTAAATGAGGGGAAAGACTGCATTACTTCACTTCAAATAAACTGGTTAAGACCACTTGTTTAGTTGGTTACAGCACATGTACCTTTTTTCAAATTTTATCCAAAAGCTTTCTTCATTTAAGATAATTTATTCCCAATAAAATAGGCTAGGACTAGGTACTTTTTACTAGAATAATCTATAATAAAACTTAATGTAAGAGTGGGAGTTAACCAGGGGCCCACAAGGAAGTTTCAGTAAAATGGAAACTTCTCTTGGATGAGGGTGACTAGCTTTGAACAGATTTTTCAAGAGGACTCAAACTCTTCCATCACCAATAAGAGATTAAAAATTACAGCAATTGTGACAGAAGTAAATGGTAATTTAAACTTGCTATGTATCTCACCTTCAATCCTAAACCATTATTGTTTATATAAAACTGCATGAATGGTAATAAATATACAAGTAAATACCAATAACCAGTAACTAAATGAGTTGTTTCTCATTAGCCATACATTACTAACACAGGTACTACATACTACTAACTTCCTGGCAAAGAGTAGATAAATATCAACTAAATCACAAGATAAGTATAGCTGATATCAGAGCTAAAATATCTACATGGGCAGGAATTAACTTTAAATCATTCTGGACAAGGAAGCGGCTTCTATTTTTAAAGCTCTTCTGGGAAAAGAACACCAAAGGTCTATCTTTAGTAACCGTTTTCATTAGGCAAAGTTTCATAGCAAAAGGATCAGTCACATTTTAAACTGACCTGTTTGCACAGTCATTTGTTGCTTGGCACATCTTGCTGGTCAAGAGAAGAGCCCTTACCTAGGATAAATGTCACCGAAGACATGACCCAATAGCTGAACGCGAGCCAAGTAGCCTAGGAGTGGATACACAGTCATCATCTGGAACAGCAGGAATATCCTTGCAATGAAGGACAGGATGTCACTGCTAGGGAAGTTGTCTAAAAAATTCTAATCCAAGAAAGATAATAATGTTACAAATCAAATTCAGTAAGTACAAATTTATAAAATGGAATTTCTTGCTTATTTTGAACACAGGTGCCACTCAAATTGTGTGGTTTTGTGGGATGGCACCCGTTCACAAACTATTTGCTAACTATTACTCTTTAATAGCTAAGTACAGAAATTAAAAGTAAGTATTTAGAAACTTAAAGAAATTTGACATTGGCACATTTTTATTTTACAAAAGCATCAATCTGCAATTGATTTGACATTGAAACAAGAAGACATTATTTACCACTGATAGTTTGAGAAGTACTGCTCTATAAGTACGTGAGGTATAAGTATAATTGTTTCAATAAATTTAAATAGCTAATTCAATGCTATTTCATTCTCAATAATTCTCTTACTTTTTCTCCTCTGATGCACTGTAGCACTTTTAAAGATTATAGAGTAAGGTGAGAGTATATCTATTACCTACTATCACTATTATCTATAGTTTATCAGTAAATAGAAAAGAAATTTTTTCTACTTCCTTTCATGATTCTGTTCTCCATTTTCATTTGGCATCTAAGAAAAAGAAAGCCAATCACTCAGATTTTTTTTTTTTCCCTTTCAAATACAAATACCACAGATATTCTTATTCCCAAGGGAGTGGGCTTTATATCGGATTGTTCATATCAGGGGACTTTTCAGCAAACACTTGGCTGCCACAGAACTTTTGGAATCAAGGAAATCAAGAGAGCATTTCAAACTATCAAAAGAACAACAAGTCAAACCTATTTATCTTGAAAAGATGAGAACATTATCACTATTATGCTGAAATAACTTTTATAATTCATATGTAATAAATCATATTTTGTACTCCACTACACTTTTTAAGAGGAATTTCTTCTGACTAGAATGAAAATCACCCGTGAATGCTACTTTCTGTGAGAACTTCTTCAGTTACATAAAACTAGAGATTATGCTATTTCCAGGTTTATGATGGGTCAAATCAAATAATAAATATTATTTATGGCAGCCTTTTAGTAAAAGAATGTTTCTTTTATTCTTTCTGTCTCTTCCTCTGTCTTTTTAAGAAATAGTCTTTCTTTGCTTTTATGCTTGCCATCTAGTACCAAAATGAGTGTCAAATCTATTATCAGGGACTGATGAATTAAGAAACCAGTTTATTCAGGATATTTCCAGATCTGGACTTTAGGAAATCAGGGAACTGAATATAGTCTCTGTGAGGGTTTATAAATTCAAGACTGTTACTAGCATAATTATCCACACACACAGAGAAATATGGAGCAAATAACAGGAATCATTTTTTTGAGTACCACAGGTGTCAGCATATAGAAGGTTTCTGAGAGTCCTTCTAAAATCTATGAAGTATCTGTTGTGATATTTAATGGAAGAGGAAGCTGAAGCTCAGAAAGAATGGGGAAGGTGCCTGAATTCCCACATGGATGGTAAACAGAAGAGACTGGATTCAAACCCAGGCCTGTCTGGTATTATACATTGCTAGTGTATCACACTGTTTGCCTTGCAGAAATGAAGGTGTAAACAATCACAGAGAGGGTACACAGTGCCTTACCTGCTCTATACAATCTTTGGATAATGGTGGTGAAGGAAATGAAGCAAAAACCAGGATTCCAATATAGAGATAAGTTAATGTCACCAGCATATAAGCAATGGACAAGTCCCTCACCTGTAAAGAGAGAATAAAATTCCCACAATGATGAGTAAATTTTTAGTAAGTATGTCTGAATAGGCTAAATAATAAGACTAACAAATAAATATAATATTTATCTTTTTGCTCTCTCTGTGTAAATATATATCTCTTAGGTATCCAGGTTGTTCAGAGACATTTCTTAAAACAAAATTCACATACAACTAGTCTGACAACTTTTTAAAAACTATCTGGAGTATGTAGACTAAGTTACCTGTTGGCAGGCTTAGAAAGTTAACATAAGTGGTGGTTTATCATGATTGAAATTTGGACTTAATTTTGAAATGCAATTTATTTACCAAATTATAAAATATTTAACTAAAATAATAAAGCTAAAGGACAACAAGAAATCAAGAATAGGCTGCTTTCTGTATGACCTATGGAATTAAAAACTTTTTTTCTCTTTTAGTGAATTAACTTCATAGATCATCAAAGCATGCCTAGCCCCAAAGAGACTGGTATATATTAAAATGTATTTAATAAAGTACGAAAGCTAGTTAAAAAGCAGACAGTAAGCAGGTATTAAGGGCAAGCTTAATAAACCTAAACAGTAAACAAAAGGAAATCAAAAGGCAGCTGTTCAAACAGCTGCACAATGTTATGATTGGAGCCAGTAAACAAATGCAGAACATTAAATAAAGTGGATTGCTTTCGTCCACTGCTGTTCCCACCCTCCCAACCATCCCCATGAAAAGTAAAAAGCTCCAAGATATTTAATGGAGCCAGCTGTCAGATCCAAATAGAACAGATCCCACAGCTCATAAATCTGGTCTCCATCACCACAAAAGTTATGGCCAAATAATTCAGCACAACTAAATTATGGCAATAAGCCTATTCATTTTTCATTTTAAACACAAATTACTTTGAAAGCTAAGAAAACAGATAAGAAAAAAAAATTATATACAATTTTGCTTTAGTGTGATACCACAGTAAGAAAACTGGACATGTGGTATTAGGGAACATTTCTGATTTTGGGGAAAATGTTTCTCCTTAAATGGGCTAAAGCAACAGTAGAGAGTTCTAAACTTAAATGTTGATAAATTCACTTCAAAAGCAGTTAAACAAACAAACTATGAGAAACCCAAAAGTCAAGTCTAAGTTGACAATCAGCTTGAAAACAAAACAGGGATTTCAATCCCTAAATTAGATGGTAGAGGCTTCCCTGGTGGCTCAGATGTCAAAGCATCTGCCTGCAACACGGGAGATTCGGGTTCAATCCCTGGGTTGGGAAGATCCCCTAGAGAAAAGAATGGCTACCTAGTCCAGTATTCTTGCCTGGAGAATCCCACGGACAAAGGAGCCTGGCATGCTACAGACCATGAGGTTGTAAAGAGTCAGACACGACTCGGTGACTAGTGCTTTCACTAACACTTTCATTATATGGAACTACAGGAAACTGGACTATGGAGACTGCTTCCAGCGTTTTAAGAGTTTCTAACTGTGTAGGGGTGAACAAGGGGAGGCCGAAAAAACCTTCAGAGAAGTTTCAAAGTCTCTTCTCTAGTTCTTGAAGCTCTAGGGCCCATCCCAGGCTAGATTTCAGTCACCCTTTGAGTTGCCTGATGGTCCTGTAAGGTATGAACAGAAATGGACCAGGCAATCCCCATATTCATAACAATGGGTAGGTGTCTCACAGAGTGATGTTTGAAAGTCATTCCACCCTTAGCTTACTCAATATTACTCAAGAACAAAGAAGTTTTGCAAAACACAAAATCTTCGAAGGACAAAATGCTTGTGTCAGAGAGCTATGTATCCATATAGAGGGCCAGCTACCATTTCATGGATAGTCTTTAGCCTGTATACCACCTGATCAGCATATTATTTTGGGCAGGCTTTCTGCAAAGATGTATACCTTAGCAAACTGGGGAAAATCTGATTATGATAAAAAGGCGAAGATGCAAGGGCTTCCTGATGAGAGTTTCCCCCTTCTGCTTCCCTGTTCTTATAGCACTGCATACACATCTGAAATATGGCATCTACTACCCTATATTGTAATCATCATTAATTTTTATTATAAAGGAATCTATATTAATGATATGAGGATATCAACTGGAAAGAAAATATTCTTTCACACCCCAAAGTAGTCAAAGTTAATAGTTCTTCTCTTATGTTGGTCTTTAAATTTTTCTACATCCAAGTTGGTCCATACTACTAGACTATGACGTCCCTGAGACAAGGACTGTGTCTTCATCTTTATATCCCCAATGCGTGCATGCGTGCAAAGCCACTTCAGTTGAGTCTGACTCTGTGTGATCCTATGGACTGCAGCCTGCCAGGCTCCTCTGTCTGGGGGATTCTCCAGGCAAGAATACTGGATTGGATTCCCATGCCCTCTTCCAAGGGCTCTTCCCGACCCAGGGATCAAACCTGCATCTCTTACATCTCTTGCACTAACAGATAGGTTCTTTACCACTAGTGCCACCTGGGAAGCCCTATATCCCCAATACCCAGGACAATACCTGGCACACTGCAGGAACTCAGTAAATGTAGATAAAAATAATCATGTTGTCTACAATTATTAAGTGCGTCTAGGTACTAGGCTCTGTACGAAACACAGTACATAATCTCATTTAAAGTAGGTATTATCCTTTTCTTCATTTTATAGAGAAATAAATTAGTGTAGAGAGATTACAACACTTGTTCATGGTTACACAGTGAGTAGTTGATGAAGTCAATATTCAAACCAAAGACTTTTTGGCTCCAAACTGCATGCCCTTAGCTACTACAATGGAGAGTTAACCAGTTTAATAATACATTTGTGTCACAGTTAATAAACAATAGTAAAGAAAACAGTGAAAGAGAGGTACGAAATAACGAGTAACAAAAGATAATGATAAAGTACACATATAGATGCAAGAGAAATAACAATGATTAGAAAAGTTCTATTTCTCAGTAGTTTAAATGCACATTCAGTAGAACTATGTCAAGAGTTGTAAAGTAACTGTTTTCATCTGAAAATACTCTAATGAACAGAAATGATGTTTTAATATAAAAGCAGCTGAGGTTTAGCATGATCCTGGGAAACATGCCACCTATGAATAGCATGCACACATGTGGGCTTTGAACCCAAGCCATCACTGTTCTAGGCCTGGAGATATGGCCTCTTAAGAGCCTCTTTAATGGAAAATGGCAGAAAAAAGCCATCTTTTAGAAAATGAGGCTCAAAGTAAAAAATATATTTAAAAATCAGCACAAGTGACCATAAGAACTGGTAAATGTGTCAAGAACCCTGTACATTAAAAAAGTAACTTACTCTGCCTCACAAATAAGCAGCAGCTGGCAGGGCTGGCAGTACAGAAGTAATGACAGGAAGGATGCTAAGTGGGGCACAGTGGGCCTGGGAGTACATTCTGTTTCTCAAAAATGGTTTATAATCTTTCTGTTCGACATACTTTTCATAGTGACTATCCAGCGGAGCATTTACTGCAAAAGAGACAGCCTACCCCAAACATTTACATAAACACTACTGCAGACATATATAGTTGAGTAAACTACAAAGATTCATAAGAAGAAAAAAGTAAATAACAAATTAAGTTATGAGCACCTCAAATAGTTTTTAAAGAAGCAAGCAGGGAATAAAATTAAATAAAGATAGGCAAAACAAAACAAGCATGGTATAGCTTCTGATTGAAACACGATGAGGAAATAGGAAGAGGGTGGTCCACAGACTCAGGATGGTTATATAGCAAATGTATTCTGATGATGAGGAATGAGTTGGATGATCTTCAACTCTACAACTTTCTTTGGGGTAAGGTATTCTTACTAAGGAACAGAAATATATCTCATTTAGTTACATATGTAAAAATATGTTTAGTGAAAAGAAAACCTCATGAAATTATGTCAAATTTGGAAAACCTGGAAAATTTGAGCACTACCCCTGTTTAGGAGCCTCACTGTTCTCCTTCACAAATGTCTTCAGACCCAAGTACAACTATAGTTTATATAGATGAGAATGAGGCCTTTTCTATTCTTCAGTCTCCTTTTCTATTTTCAAAGTTCTTATTTTTTTTTTTTTTACCTGATCTCTGAATGACTAACCCAAAATCAACATTAAAAATTCCAAGTTCCTGACAAGCTTCACATTTTCTGACTTAAATCACAAGAAAACATTGTATCATGGTATTAACAAAACTTCAATGACTCAAATTACCTACTGAAACCTCCTTGAATAAATCAGATGACAAAGTTTTCTCAGAATATGGTACATATTTAGCTTAATTTATACAATGAAAAATGAAAGTGTTAGTCATTCAGTCGTGTCTGACTCTGTGACCCCATGGACTGTAGCCCACCAGACTCCTTTGTCCATGGAATTCTCCAGGCAAGAATACTAGAATGGGTAGCCATTCCCATCTCCAGGGGATCTTCCCAACCCAGGGATTGAACCTGGATCTCCTCCACTGCAGGCAGATTCTTATACTGCTGAGTCACTGCGGAAGCATTTTATACACTGGTTTCAACCAGTTAAGACAATAAGAAGACATCATCCATTTAAACTTTTACTTTTAACCCTTTAAAAAAATATTTTCCACAAGTGACAAAAGTTGAGCCACATTTTATTACCTGAACCTCACATACTACTTCTACAAAATGGTAGTCCCCAAACTCAGTAGAAACAAGAACTCATTTATGGTTATTTACATATGGAATATAGATTTCAAGGTCCATTGAGTGTTATAGTATGAAAGGCAGGACTCTTCCTATGTACTTTGGGGACCATAAACAGAAATATTTATCTCTCTATTCAGTCTGCTTCTTGCACTGAGGAATGCATACCTTCAGATAAGCTGATGTGAATTTCAAGAAAAGCTATTCCACTTAAAAGTTTTCAGGAGCAAAACTAAGTACAGACAGTCTTCTCTTTTTATGGTAGTATGAGACTGTGTCATGGGGCTTACCTGGTGGCTCAGAAGGTAAGGAATCTGCCTGCAACGCAGGAGACCTGAGTTTGGTCCCTGGCTCGGGAAGATCCCCTGGAGAAGGGAATGGCAAACCACTCTAGTATTCTTGCCTGGAGAATCCCCATGGACAGAGGAGATTGGTGGGCTACAATTCCTGGGGTCGCAAAGAGTTGGACACGGCTGAGCGACTAACACACACGCACGAGACTGTGCAAGGGCCCTGACGCCTCTTTGAGGAAGATGCCTTTGCCGCTGCAGCACTGCTGGGGGCGGCCGGCTCCTCCCTCGTGCTGTTCACTCCCGGGGACAGGTGAGTCAGGGAGGTGCGCTGCAGCCAAGGCTTGCAAATACTGGGAAGATACCTCTAACACCTCACCGCGGGAGAATCACTCCAACCAGCCACAATATAAAATCTCTGGAGAAGGGGTGTGCGGACTAGATCAGAGGCACAAAGGAGAATAATCTGAAAGTGAAAGGACCAGTTCAGATGCCAATCAAGACTCTGGGAGTCACTAGAAAAAAAACTGCTTGAGGTGAAGTTTTCTAAGGTGCTAAGATTTTCTGAAGTTGATTCCAGATGAAGATCTGTAAGTGATTCATTGACTTGTACAGTCCTTCCTGCATTGGCAGGTGGATTCTTTATCACTGCACCACCTTGGAAGCTCCCAGTTACTACTTTATCCAAGTTCAAACCCTGTGGTAACCTAAATTTGAACCATGTGGTTAGGGGAAACTGATATAATCTAACTAAGCCACAGTAACTGAAATTCATGCATATGGGAACTGTGCAAAGTGAAGTCTGCCTGTAACTTAAACAATTGTTTTAAGACTGTTTTATAGTAAGACAAACTAATTATGAGCACAATAAAAATATGCATGAGTGTTTAGGATAAAACATGAGATTCCACTGAAATTGTTTTCTTCACCCCCAGACTCTCAGGTGTGCAAGGTGTTCTCTCTCATTAAGGGGACTTTGGTGGTGAAGTTTGAGAAACAGCTTTATGGATAGAATGACCCAAAACATGAGAATCCAACTTCACAAAATTGGTTTCTGTGGTACATGGTTTAAATTAGCATTAGAGATCAGTTGAGTAGGATAGAAAGGTGACCTGGCCGAAACCAAAGTATACACTGTTAACTACATACACTATTCCTGTGATGATAAAAAAGATATCTTCCACATATCTCTAAACTTCCTAAAATTTGTGATTGGCAGCTTAGTTCAAGTGGCAAGGAGTCAGGAAATTTGTAAAGAAGGAGAGAGGGATTTAAAAGTAAAAGCCATAAAGTATATTCTCAATTTTTCCTTTATACTCCAAAGTTCCAAATGTTCATTTAGGATAGTAAGATTTTCTTCCTATTCTCTCCAAAGATTTAAAACTGTTTATGACAGAAGTACAATAAGATTAAACATTTCCAAAATAAAAACTGAATCTAAAGTGTGAGGGTAACAGGAAAAGGAAAAAACTATAAAAATACATTTGCCTAGGAAAAGTTATAGAATACGGTAAGAGAACTTAATCCTTAAGTTTTCCAAAAGTCAAAGCAAAAATAGAAACAAGAATAGTTATATGACCCTTATTATCAAATAATGAGTTCATTAAGGAAATGTTTTCTTAGCCTTTAACAGAGAAAATTTTCTCTCTAGTCTTTGCATAAAGGATGCTGAGCAATTTAACACAGAATATCTCAATTACAGTTCTTATAAAACAATGAAGCAACATTATACACATGGCTTTCTTGTATTACCATGAACCCTTGATAAAAGCCACTTTTAATATTAAAATCTAGTACAGTGATGAGAGAAGAGAGAAAGAACTGATGTGGTTGAATTATTTATTTTTCCGAGAGTCTAACTTATCAATATCAAACAAAGAAATTTTGGAGAAGACTTAATATGTTCTCATTGGAAGACAAATTTAAAGGCACTAGAAAAAACATGAAGGATATTCTCTCCTGTTAGCAGAAAGATCCACAGTTGCAAAGGGTCAGACATGACTGAGTGACTAACACTTTCACTTTTCAATAATTGTATAGACTCCTATTAGAACTTCATCATGATTTTTGTTTATATGGTTATAAGCTATCAAGCTGAATTAAAATTTTACAAACAAGGTCACAGGTAACTGGTTAAATTCTGCTTTCTTTGGGTTTAGTTTGCTCTTTTCTCCCCCAGTGTCTTAAGGAAGAAGGTTAGGTTATTGATTTGAGATTTTTTTTTTAATGTAGGTGTTTACTGCCATAAGTTTCTCTCTAAGCACAGTTTTACTGCATCCCATATATTTTGATATGTTTTATCTTCATTTTCAGTAATCTCAAAGTACTTCCCTAATTTTTCTTGTAATTTTTTTCCTTGAGTTCATTAGTTACTTAGGAGTATGTTGTTTAATTTCCACATATTTGTCAATTTCTCAGATTTCTTTCTGGTACTGACTTCTAATTTCATTGTGGTCAAAGAACATACTTGGTATGATTTCAGTCCTTTCAAGTGTATGTGACTCGGTGTATGGTTGATCTTGGTAAATGTTTCATGTCTTTTTGAAAAGAATGTGAATTCTGCTGTTGTTTAAGACTTTTGTAAATGCCAGGCAGGCTGATAGTGTTTTTCATGCTTTTGATATCTTTACTTACTCTCCATTTGCTCCATCAATTATTAAGGGAGGGTTGATGAAATCACTAATTATTAACATAATTGTGGATTTCTCTACTTCTTACAATTTAGACAGTTGCTGTTTCCTTCACTTGGAAGCTCTGTTACTGGGAGCATACATTATGTCTTCTTGATGAACTGGTCCTTAAAGATCATCATATAATGTTCCTCTTTACCTTTGGCAATACTCCTTGTTCTGAAGTCTGCTTTGTCTGATATTAAAATAGCCTTTCCATCTCTTTCACGCTTAGTGTCTGCATGATCTCTTTATATGTAAAGTAAGTTTCTTGTAGACAGTATATAATTAGGTTTTGTTTTTAATCAGACTGACAATCTCTTTTAATTGTAGTATTTAGACCATTTCTAATATAAGTATCAACACAACTGGATTTGAATCTATTATCTTTCTATTTGTTTTCTATCCAGTAGTCATTTGTGGTTGTGAGAGCTGGACCACAAAAAAAGCTGAGTGCTGAAGAAATGACTCTTTCAAATTGTAGTGCTGGAGAAGACTCTTGAGAGACTCTTGGACTACAAGGAGATCAAACCAGTCAGTCCTAAAGGAAATCAACCCTGAATATTAATTGGAAGGACTGATGTTGAAACTGAAGCTCCGATACTTTGGCCACCTGATGCAAAGAGCTGACTCGTTGGGAAAGACCCTGATACTAGGAAAGACTGAAGACAACAGAAGATGGCGGCAGAGGATGAGTTGATTAGATGGCATCACTGACTCAACGGACATGAATTTGAGCAAGCTCTGGGAGAGAGAGAAGGACAGGGGAGTCTGGCATGCTGCAGCCCATGGGGTTGCAAACAGTCAGACACAACTTAGTAACTGAACAACAACTCTCTTACACTTAATGTCTGCATGGTATATCTTTATATAAACTTACTTTATATTTAAAGTAAGTTTCTTGTAGACAGTACATCATTTTTTTTTTTTTTTTTAGTCAGACTGACAATCTCTTTTAATTGTAGTATTTAGACCATTTTAAATGTAATTATTAATATGACTTTGAATCTATTATCTTTCTATTTGTTTTCTATTTGTACCATATATTCTTTGTTTCCTTTTCCCTGTTTTCTTTTAGATCACTTGGGTATTTTTAAAGATCTCACCACTACTGGCTATCAGCTATACATCTTTTTTTTTTTCCTTTTTTAAGTGACTGCTCTAGAGCAAACTATTATGGCCCATGGATGAAATATGGCCAACTGTCTGTTTTTGTAAATACAATTTTCTTGCAACACAGGCACTACCTATTTGCTTACATATTGTTTAGAGTTACTTTTCATGCCACAATAGTAGAGCTGGGTAGTTGCAAACCCATGGCCCATAAGGTCTAAGATATTTACCACCCGAACCTTTACAGAAGTTTGCTGACCATTGTTTTGTGGTTTACATTTAAAAGTTAAGGTTTAGTAACAAAAGTCAATTCCTCAGGTAATTACTCACATTGTTTTCTTGGTTCTTGTTATTCTTCAAGAGTGTGATAATACAATTATGAATAAAGAAAGCAAGCGTAAGCACCCCAGTCAGTTGTGGAAAATTAAATCTTATCTCTAGGAGAAAAAGAGAGAGGAAAAAACATGCATTAAAACTGACAACTGGAAAATGAGTACTAGTAGCCAAATAAAATGCCTTTATGAAGTTCTTCAAGGCTAACATTATACTTGAACAAATACTTGAAAAGGGAAAGAAGAGGAATCAAGAAATCATGCCTGTGGGGATACTTTATTATCATTTCTGGCCATGCTTTGCAGCATGTGGGATCGAACCCATGCCCCCTGTGTTGGAAGCACAGAGTCGAAACCAGTGGACCACCAGGAAAGTCCATGTGAGGATACTTTATATTAGTTATTTCTGTTTGAGGTCATACAACTAGTATGTTGCAGAGCAAGATCAAATTCAGGGTCTGAATGAAAAATGGGCAGAAGACCTAAATATACATTTTTCAAAAAGATACACGGATAGTCAAAAGGTACATGAAAAAATGATCTACACTGCTAATCATCAGAGAAATTCAAATTAAAACCAAAATGAGATACTACCTTGCATCTCATACAAAATGGCTATCATCAAAACAGAACTACCATATTGACCCAGTAATTCCACTACTGGGTATTTATCTGGAGAAAATGAAAACACTAATTTGAAAAGATAATGCATTCCAGTGTTCATAGCAGTTACTCTATGAGGTGTTCCAACAATATAGGTTAGAAAAAAAAGCCCGACAGACCTCAACAGAGGGATACTTTCTAACAAGAAAAAGAATGATCAACAGCATTATACTTACACAATTATAACAAAGCTCCAATATTTGAGAAGATGATAAAATTATCATTTACACAAGATAGGCTTACCTCAGGAAATAAGAAAAATCTCAAATAAACAATCTAATTTTGTACCTAAAGAAACTAGAAAAAGAACAAATAAATCCCAAAGTTAAAAGGAAGAGAAATAACAAAAATCAGCAAGAAATAAATGAAATAGGGACTAAAGAGACAATAGAAAAGATCAACAAAGCTAAGAGCTAGCTTTTTTTTGAAAGATAAAATAGATAAAACTTCAGCTAGATTAACCAAGAAAAAAAAGGATTCATATAAATGAAAGAGATGTCAGAACTGATACAACAGAAATGCAAAAGATTCTAAGAGACTACATGAACAGTCATACACCAATACACCAACAAATTGGACAATCTAGAAGAAATGAATAAATTCCTAAAAACATGCAAACTACCAAGACTGAATCATGAAAAAACAGAAAATCTGAACAGACCAGAGATTGAATCAACAATTAAAACCCTCTCAACAGACAAAACTCTAAGACCAGATAGCTTCATTGTGAATTCTACCAATCAAGAATTAATACCATCCTTCTCAAGCTCTTCCAAAAAATGAAAGAGAAAGATACTTCCAAACTCATTTTACAAAGCCAGAATTACCCTGATACCAAAGCTAGACAAAGATACTACAAAAAAAAGAAAATTACAGGCAATGTCCCTGATGAACACAGATACAAAAATTCTCAATATTAGCAATCCAAGTTAAACAATTCATTAAAAGGATTACACACTATTATCAAGTGAGATTTATTCCAGGGATGCAAGTATGGTTCAATATGTACAAATCAATCAGTGTGATATACCACATTAATGAATTGAAGAATAAGAATCATATGATCACTTCAATAGATGCAGAAAAAGCATTTTACAATAAGTTTAAGTCACTCGCCATGCCCAACTCTTTGTGATCTGATAGACTGTAGCCTCCCAGGCTCCTCTATCCATGAGATTCTCCAGGCAAGACTACTGGAGTGGGTTGCCATTTCCTTCTCCCAGGCCCCTGTGGGGGAAATTAAAATTGGATGCCACAAGTCCAAGGGAGCCTTCTGGGCATGTTCATTATCAGCATCTTCCTCTCCTTTGTAAAGCACTTCTGACTGTTTAATTGTGAACCATTCAGGGGCCACTGTCCTTCTGATCTTAACGTATCTAATATGCACCCCAAAGATCTTTCCCTGGTACACATGAAATATTTCCCATTTTTATAAGCTTTATAACACCAAAACACAAAAGATGCAGATAAATTCCAAGAAAAATGGCACAGATTCCAGCATCGATGAATATAGATGAACCAATTCCCTGATAGGGTATCCCTATAAAATAAATTTACCCTATATAACAAATGAACTCATTCCAACTAGGCTACCCACCCCCTCAAGAAATAGCTCGCAAATGAACCAGTTTCAACTGGACCAGTTCCCAAATCAGGTAAATAAATGTACCCTACAAATGAGCTAATTTCAACTAGGGTGGGCCTGCCCCACGAGAACTAGTTCTAAATGAATCGGTTCAGAGTAGAATCCAACAACACCTCTCCTCTGCAAATGGGTACCCAACCAAATTGGCTTGTCCTATAAAGGAAAAGCCCAGATTGATAGGAAAAAATGTTCCCAGTGTGCACACTGGAGGGACTTACCCTCCAAAATCGAGCCTGAACACCAATTTATGATATTAATTCTCAAATACCTGGGTATGGAGGGAAAGTACCTCAACATAATAAAGGCCATATATAGGACAAACCCAGAACGAATATCATATTCAGTGACGATAAGCTGAAAACTTTTCCTCCAAGAACAGGAAGAACACAAGGATGCCTACCTACTCTTTCCATTTTTATCCAACACAATACTCAAAGTCTTAGTCAGAGCAAGAAGAGAAATAAAAGGCATAAAAATTGGAAAGGAAGAAATGAAACTGCCTCCATCTGTCAAGAATATAATACTATATACAGAAAACCCTAAGAATGCCACCAAAAAACTTTTAGAACCAATATATAAAATCAGAAAACTTGGGGAGTACAATTTCAACATACAAAATCTGTTGTGTTTCTATACACTAATAACAAACTATCAGAAAAAGAAATTAAGAAAACAATCCCATTTATAGTAGCATCAAAAAGAATAAAATACCTAGGAAAAATTTAACCAATGAGTTGAAAGACCTATGAACTAAAATCTGTAAGACATGATGAAAGAAACTGAAGACACAAATAAATGTAAAGTGACTCCAAGTTCATGAATTGGAAGAATCAATATTCTTAAAATGTCCATACTACTCAAAACAATCTACACATTCAATGCAATCTCCATCAAAATTTCAATGACATTTTTCACAGAAATAGAACAAACATTCCTGAAATGTGTATAGAAACATAAAAGACTCCAAACAGCCAAAGCGATCTTGGGAAAGAGGCATGAAGCTGGTGGCATCACACTTCCTGGTTTTCAACTTTATTACAAGATATAGTAATCAAAACAGCATGGTATTGACAAAGAACAGACACACAGATCAGTGGAACAGAGTGCTCAGAAATAAATCCACACATATACAGTTAATTAATTTATGACAAAGAAGTCAAGAATATACAATGGGGAAAGAACAGTCTCTTCAATAAATGGTGTTGGAAAAACTGGGAGACACATGCAAAAGAATGAAACTGGGCCCCCCATCTTAAACCATATACAAAGATCAACTCTAAATGGATTAAAAACTTGAAGGTAGGACCTGAAACCATAAACCCCCTAGAAGAACACATGGGCAGGAGGGTAAGCCCCTTGATATTGATCTCGGCAGTGATTTATTTATTTGACATCAAAAGCAAAGAAAACAACAACAACAAAATAAACAAATGGAATCACATTAACTTAGTTAGTGAAATCACACTAACAAGCTTCTGTACAGCAAAGTAATCCATTGATGAAATGAACAGGCAACCCACAAAATGGAAGAAAGTGTTTGCAAATCATGTATTGGATAAACAGCTAATAATCAAAATATATAAATAACTCATATAACTCAATAGCAAGAAAATAAACAATCCAATTAAAAACACAGGCAGAGGACTAAATACGGACATAACCAACTACAGTCAGTCAAAAAACAGACAAAATTAATCTTTGGGGTTAAAAGTTAGAACAGTGGTTATCTCTGCAGGGAGATACCAACTGGTAGGGAGAATGAGATGGACTTCTGGGGTGTTATTCATAGTAATTTCTGGTTTTAAACAGGGTGCTGGTTATCTGGTTTGTTCAGTTTGTGAAAATTAATCAAGTTGTACATTTAGGAACTATGCACTTTTATTATAAATGTATGCTATACTTTAATAAAAAGTTCAAAAGCAAAAACAAAAAAAAAATGTGGGCTATATACATATTATTTAAAGTACATGTGGTTAGAAAATTATGTTTTTTTGGTTACAGATTAACACAATGCTGCTATCAAATGGCAAATCACTGCATAATCCTTGAAAATCAGTGTCTGAGTCTCTTTTTTTTTTTTTCCATTTATTTTTATTAGTTGGAGGCTAATTACTTTACATCATTACAGTAGTTTTTGTCATACATTGAAATGAATTAGCCATGGATTTACATGTATTCCCCATCCCGGTCCCCCCTCCCACCTCCCTCTCCACCCGATCCCTCTGGGTCTTCCCAGTGCACCAGGCCCGAGCACTTGTCTCATGCATCCAACCTGGACTGGAGATCTGTTTCACACTTGGTAATATACATGTGTCGATGCTGTTCTCTCAGGTCATCCAACCCTCGCCTTTTTTTTTTTTTTTTTTTTTCCATTTATTTTTATTAGTTGGAGGCTAATTACTTTACATCATTACAGTAGTTTTTGTCATACATTGAAATGAATTAGCCATGGATTTACATGTATTCCCCATCCCGGAGTCTCTTTTTGAAGTCAGTTTCAAAGCATTTAACAGCTTTTCATTTTAAAAATGTAATCTTAATTGCAGTCTTGCTGCTGCTGTTAAGTCGCTTCAGTCCGACTCTGTGCGACCCCATAGACAGCAGCCCACCAGGCTCCGCAGTTCCTGGGATTCTCTAGGCAAGAACACTGGAGTGGGTTGCCATTTCCTTCTCCAATGAAAAGTGAAAAGTGAAAGTGAAGTCGCTCAGTCGTGTCTGACTCTTAGCGACCCCATGGACTGCAGCCTACCAGGCTCCTCCATCCATGGGGTTTTCCAAATTGCAGTCTTAAATGTAT